CTGGTAAGCCACCAGAATGGCCTTGGATTTGCATTATACTAATTCACTGTTCATGGTTTTCAGTTAAAAACCACGCGCTTACTTGGTTAATTGAAGCACATGTAGGAAGTCCCAACTTGCACAACGGCCAGGTTTCCTTTTTCTTTTGGCAAAGTTAGTAAACACCTGTTAGCAAGGAACGCAGTTTGCAATTTTCAAATGCATATCCACTCGCGCACAGAGGAGAAACGAGCTAATCTTCCTAAGTGCTCCGTTTGTGTGTATGTACGTCTGTGTATGTATGAGACGCAGTGGGAACAGATTTTAATTAATTAACCAGGCATTGAATAACCGAGTTCCCTGCCCCTCCCCTCCCACCCACCCCATTTAAAATCTGGGTGATGATAATCCACGTGTGGGCAGCGGGTAGGGTGGCGAGGTAATGTAATTATATTAAACTGCTCCGGCTTCTGGAAATACTGCGGTTTAGTAGGGGTTGGGAGGTGTGATGGATGACTTTAAAGTGGGCTGTTGAAGGGTGAGTCAGACGCGCGAGGGGAAGAGAAGCAGCAAGCCTCAGACGTCTCCTCTCGCCTGTGGGATCTGATGGCCGTCTGAAGGCATTAGTTTTGAAGGTGTTAGCTGGGAAAATGCGCGACCTCTCATCTTCGTGCTACACGATTATCTGACATGACCCCAAGTACTCACCCCGAGTTCGCACCTAAGGCAAGCATCGTCCCCCGCAAAGACTGCTGCTTAAACATAAGAAAGCAGTCTTTATTGTGTTGGCGTTTAGCGAGAAGCCCTAGCGAATTTTTTGCGTGATAGGACCAGTGTGATATCGGGCTAGGACAGGATATTTTGCGTGATTCTTTAGGTCTGAAACGAATTAAAATCAGGGAACAGCATTTCACAAAGTCTTGACTAAGTGGGCAGTGGCAATTCGTCTGATTGCCAGATCGAGCCAATCAGTTCAACCGAAATATTCAAAATTCTGCGCACTAAAAGCTTTGAATCCTATTTTAAAATGTTTACTGCTACTAACGCCAAATAACATTAATTTTCAATATTCCATACGCTCCGTAGGCAACTATCAAGTGAATTGTATTGCGCTTGACTGCAGTCCATGACTTGACAGCAAACTGTCTTGCTGAAACTCACCAACACATATTTCAAGAGTTTGAAAGCAGAACGATTTGCGAAGATGACGATAGATAGTTGCACAGTAGTGCTTAAATTACAAGCCACGAATAATTGTCATGCGAAAATTTCTACGTCCTCCATTGGCCATTTTTTTAGTGAATGAGCCCTGCTAATATACGCCATTGTAGAGAGTAAAATAGACTTGAAGAGGCTACTTAAATAACCGTGAAAATGAGCATTTACTTCTGAAGAAGTGATTGAAAGTGACAAAAAATTGGGAACTGAAGAAAATGAGCCACAAACGCATGAGAGTTCCCGTTTGGAGACAAAAGTCAAGTAAAGTAAGAATTTGAAAGGGAGCAAATAAAGGAGTAGGCACAATGAAAAATCAGAAAAACAAGCATTTAAAATAGTACAGCAGCCCCAATGGTCTTTTTACATACTACTTAAATGCGAGCCTCTATACGAAACATTTGATACATTGAAGTTCGAGATCAGGGTACCTTAAATAACCTGCGTCCATTTTCGTACTAATAGTTCAGCATTGCGCTTCCACGACGAATTCCTTGGTTTTTGCCTAGCCCACTGCCCCAAGTTCGAGTCTGTGTAGTTCTACTTAATACTTGGGCTTATGCAATATGAATTAAAACACTTATGGGTTGATTACATAAAAATGAAAGATTTCCAGGTGATTTTTAATATCTTTATGGTAAAACAATGCATGTCTGAGGGAAATTTCCATAAACAGTGGAGATCTGGAATTGTGGAAGCCGTTTCACTTTCACAAACGCGTATTAATCTCATACAGTAATGACTGCAAAGATATGTTTGATTTTTTTGGATTTGCCATACCACAAATATCACAAATTGTCCTAATTAAGCATTACGACATAAACGGGGTGCTTTCTTAGCAAATGCGCCCCAAAATCTATAGCAACGCCAATTAACATAGAATCTAATCACTTGGCTACTAAAATAGTTAAAGTAGTGTGTATTTATTTACTACAGAACGACGCTAACACTTGGGTGGGTTAATTTTGCATGGACGTTTCGACAAAGGCTCTACATGTAATTTTCACAATTATGGAAAACTTTGTGATTTATATATAAATTTTCAATATTTGTTATAACAGTCTTTGCGCAACTGGATGCCAGAACACGAAGCTTCTTTAAAATAAAATGGAAGGAACATATGGATTTGTATTGCTGATCTTCGACAATCCTTTTATCCTGTTCATATTCCGATTGGCGTTTAGTAAGCAAATCAATTTGCTTCCCGATTCATTAGCTCAAACAACAAAAAAATGAAGATTAAGGTTCGAAGAGTCAGCAGAAAGATTTTCAAGGCTTTAACATTGGATTGTTAATTTAAATCCAAGCCAAGGACTATTAGAAATCTAGCAGTTATTGTCGCCAAGCCTTTTGAGTATACTTGTTAAAAATCACAACTGAAAACCACACAACATTAAAATAATTGAACTTGGGGTGTGCCCTTGTGAGTGTTATTAGAAAATACAAGGCTTAGTAGTCTCAAATCATTTACGTCGTCAACTTCTTCCCAGCATTTCATGGGATCGCTTCAGAAAGACCGATTTTGGCAAAACGGTGCGTTTTCGATGACGGACACAATGGAACAAGTATCCTAGACCCATCTTCGCTAGATTTAAAATCAGACATTTCCTTATTTTCGTTTAGGAATTGCATAAAGATCCTTTCGTGGAACCACTAATGTCCAAAATGCTCTGAACAAAGCGGATTTAGTAGTCAAAACTGCAGAATCGCTGTTACTTCTTGCAGGTATCAACAGCTCTGTGAGTAGCGTTGACGTTAAATCAATGTAAAGGACTCTTGGATTTTCACTGCAGAATCGCTGTTACTTCTTGCAGGTATCAGCAGCTCTGTGAGTAGCATTGACGTTAAATCAATGTAAAGGATTCTTGGATTTTCACTAAAACCCATTATAAAATCTATCCGTCACGAAGTGTCAATCTTACTGCCTCGAAACGCGCAAATAAACACTTGGCAAAATGTCCTTTTCCTTAACCAGAGACTGCTTATCCCGGTTTTGGGTGGCTGCAACGCTGAAGTGAAGTGCCACTTCAACTCAACGAGAGGGCTCTGCTGTAGAGTGGGACAAACCACGAATCAAAAGTTAAAATTGTTGACAGTGATGGAACTTTATAGGATAGGTTTGTTACATCGTGTAAACGTGGACACTAAAAGTACTATCACGCATTCTTGAGAGCTCGGGTTGATGATGACTAGGGAGTGCAACCTGCATCTAGCCGTGTAATGGAGCAGTCACTGCACTTTTGCAAGATTGCGAGATCGTTACTGCTCCGCCAAGTTTCTGCAGCCTTTTAAACTGTACTTCAACCAAACCCAAGAGCTGCAGGAGGCAATTTAGACAAAATAGCTAATAGAGGCGCCAGAAAACTCTGAAGCGTTTGTTTGTTTTTTTTCATGCTTACTTGGAAGCAATTGCATGTCCCTAATTCATCTGGTCAAAGAAGCAAACTCTGTCATAAAAATATTATTCGACAAGAATCACACAAGTTAGTGAAATGCCCGATGTTGAAGATTCCGTCATATTTCAAAATGTACACTGCTGTTACTGTACCTTTTCCGTGGGTGCCTCGCCAACATTTTTAACCTTACTTGCCTTTTTCCCACATTCTAGATGCTCCAAAAGGAGGTGAAACGACACAATTGCTTAAATGAAGCACAGCATTGCGTAAATTGCCGCGACAACTCAGTTTTTCAAGGTTACGTTGACGCTACTTCCTCACCTAAGCCAAATACTGCAACCGCACTAGTAGTTACCTAGGCAATTTTGGGCGTTTTGAGCAAGATCATAAGACTGCAACTGGTCCTGCTAAATACCACTTATCGATTTGGTGGCACTCGGTGACCCACCCTGCTCTCCACCCAAAAGGCGTGGATCTTGGCAACACAAGACGTGTCCTTTGATTTAAGCACCCCGCTTCGTTGTGGAGAGTTGTGCCAGGTAGACGAGGCGCCATCTCTCAAGTGCTCACCACTGCAGTGTGTGCAATTGTAGGCAGCCAGCCTTACTGTGCGAATTGATGTGTCACTAGCTCCAAACGCCTTTGTTCGAATGCTAAGCCACAAGTGAAGGAGAACTATCCACACAACAGCCACTTGCCACAGTTATATCAGTTACCGTCAGGTAAATTGGGTGGACGTGTTTGGATATGCATCTTGACAAGCGAACCAATTTTAGTCATCTGAAAAAAAAGAGATATCGGCTACAAATGAAAACTGCGACTAATGCAGTATCAGCATGTGTATATTTACATCCAGCGCCTAGTAAACCAACAGTTTGCTTTAGTTGTCCATAATAAAATCTTGCCTTCAAGGGGCTCAAACTGACAGATAAACGAACAGATGCTAACTTCCTTGTGTACAAAATCAACGCAGGAGTAATGTCTAGTTTATTTGAAGGTAAAGGGTCGAGACTACAGAACAATATCAATATCAAGTCCACGATTCGAGTCGCCCTGGAGAATCTTCCAATGCTACAAAATAGAACCTTTGTTAAAGAACTCGAAAAGTGAGGGCTGTAACACAATCATGTCGTTTAATCTATGCGCGCAGTGGAGTCTATGTAGATCAGACTGCAAAATTATCACATTTGGCAAAAGTCGCTGGTCTGTCATCCAACTTAAAACGATGCATTTTGTTACGAAATAATGGGTGCAAAGATTCTAAAGATTCCACGCGAAACCTCTCAATGATTATTGTGAATAATACACCCCTTCCAGGCCACTTTGACCTGTCAAAGGATCTAGCGGGTATGGAATGAGAGGGAATGCTGCGAGCCATATTAGGGATTCAAAAAGTGTAACTGACATACCTCAGACAGGCAGTGGTTGCGTCGCGTGGGACCCACGCCTTGGCCTTTGGCGCATCACAGTCAACGTGGCCAGTCCGACCAGGACCACAGCGGCCATCACACAGGCTGCCACCGCCATTATAGTGCGCGCACCACCACCTCCTTTGGATGGAACTTCGAGTTTCTGAGTGGCTAAGTACAACAGTGAAGCGTCAATTAGTCTTTTATGGATTTATTGTAAGAATATCAATTCACAAAAATCGAAAACATAACCTTTAGAAGAGGAAAAGCACCAGGAAACCACATAAAATTACACCCAAATGGACATTTTTGTAATACTGTGGAAAAATAGTGCTAAGACAACACAAGAAGTAGCTTAATATGGTTGACTTTCCTTTGCATTTTCTTCTAAGATCCGATTTGGGCTCAGTTTAGGACGGATTATTAGTCAATTTTACATAGTTTATTGTTTCAATTACGTGTGCGTGCAATCGGAAATTCACGACACTTGTACATTTGTGAAAATAATGTTTGGTAACATGACAATTCAAGCCTAGTAGGTGCATGAATGGTTGTGTCAACCTCGACCTAACCCATCACCTTGATTGTTATCTGGTATTAAGGGCCTAATTAGAGAAAAGGAGTATTACGTAGCCATTCGCTGACTGAACGCTTAGCGATATGTAAGTTTTCTATTCACAATTACATCCATAACTACTCCTGACACCCTAAATTCTTCTGAATTTTAGAGCTGTAATGCCAGCAGCGCTTATAAATAAAATTGTACTCAGTTGGTTATTGTGGTGGTCATTCAGGAGTTTACAACTAGGCAAAATTTAAGTGAATAAGTTTGGTAAAAAAGAGTATTATCTATCTTACCCCTACCTTTGGACAGGTTCCTCTGATTAGACGTGGCTGAGGAGGCTAAAATGATAAAAATAAGACCAGAAAAGAAAAAAATAAGTGATGCCTAATGGAAATCGAACCACATAAAAAAGCTGACTGTCCGATGTGAAAGTTGCATATTAGAGCAAAATCCACCTTGGAGCATCTATGCGGTTATTTAATTGACAGGACGTGTTTTTGGTTAAAATTTACCACTAGTGTATTCCCGCAGAGAGTTCATTCATATTTGAACCAAAAAACAACTCAAATCAAGGAAACGGATTAATGAACACGATTTTATTTGTTAAATAAGTAACCAGAGAACCACGAAATTAATTGCTGGCCCAAGTATTTGAACGATGGTGGGACTATCAGAGAAATTTAATTTTACCGAAGTGTTTCGTTGGTTTTTACCAAAACGATAAGGTTAAACCGTGTGTCTATCAATGACGGGTGTTATTTCCGTTTCAGAAATCAAAATTTATTTTGGAGGTCTATCGAGTCGTTAACCATCAATATTGTTTATCCAAGCACGCAATCCTCACGAGGCCGAAAATTCGACAAAAGTCATGAAAAATGAGAATTTCTTCGCCGACTAACCAGACTTGGCAACTCTTAGGACCCAGGTTTGTTAAAAAAGATCAGCCCTTATCAGACCTCCCCTACATTGTCCATGGTACTCGCGAAGGCAGGTGAAATGATGTTATAATGCTATTCACATAGTGAAACCTTGTTTTTTAACGGATTAAATTCAAAGGCTATAGGTGCTTGAGTGCAGTAAGGAAGCACTGTGGGACATTTACAGCCCTATTATTGGTGAGCCCGATACTCTACATATTTGTTCTCGCTGAACGCAATTCGGATTCTGGTCACTAGGTGAGTAACAGTGCTCCACGAACCTTCACGTCGGTAGGCTCACCTTCCAAACACACTCATTGTTTTATATGCAATCTTAATTGTATTTCCTCATACTGGGAAACACGTATACGTTTTACATTATTCGCAGCAAATGTTTTTAGTTCAACCTTGGAGTAAAGTCTCCGTGGTGGTTCTAAAGATAAGTAAATAGGTTATTAGTTTTAAAAGCCAAAACGAGAAAACTTCCGGGCTACCCAAGCAGACAACCAATTTTTACCGTTTCTGGTGTATTTTCATAAATTTTGTTGGCGAATTCACGTGTTGGTTTAGTTTTAACTAGCAACGACAACTTTACTCATTTTTATTAGGTGGTATTTCGGTGCGAAGACATATCATACACATGAAATACTTAATAGTGAAGTAAACTATAATTAGGAGATTTGCACTTAAATTTTGAATTTGTTCAATTTTAATTTAATAGTGTTTTTTTACATTTCAGATGTTTCAAGTGCGTGGTAGCCAAAATGCGCCTTTAAATCTTGGGTGATTGTAGACTGAGGTTATCTTCAGCTTTGGCACAACAAATGCAATTGATGTTTCTTGCAGCCCCTCGACAATCAGTGTGATTGAAATTGTCGCCAACAGTTGTGCAACCACATATGGTGCCACGATGTGATTTCTGCCGTGTTCCCGCCTCTAAGGTTAAAAAGTGAGAGCACAGAAGCCCACTATTGCTCTCTTATCAACGTTAAACCACGGACCAGCGCAAAAGATGGAAGATTGTGACATGGAAGGCGTCAGTGCTCATTTCCCACGACGCCAGACCAAATCTCAAGCAGACAGACTTCAAACTACGACAACTAGTTACCGCGCCAAGTTGGTGGAGTAGAGAGCAAATTTAAATGATTTGGTGAATAAAACTAATGGAAGTAAGTAGAAAATGAACAAACGCACCATTCTTGGTGCACGTGGCATTGAACAAGCCGCAGGCGTTCTGATCAGCCGATGGCACTTTGAAGACGTCGGCACCAAAGGCAACGTGCTGAGGATGTGTCGAGGCAGAGGCTTCTCTCTTAACCAACTTCGCTCCTCTCTTAACGTTGCCTCTTGCAGTACGGCTGAAGGTGGCTTCGGATTTCTTGAATGAGGGCAGTGATTCAGCCCCTTCCTCTTTTCCAGACGCCTTTTTACCCTGAATCGTCGGGTCCATCATCCGTGCTGAAAGAAATCGAGTGCTCCACAAAGACACAGCATATTTTGTGGAAAAAATAATAACTTGATTATAACTTGCTCGAAATTAAAGTTGCCTAGAAACGCGTGTGCTTTTAATAATATTTTTTACCGAAAAATGCTATGGGTGACTCATAGGTAGGCTCAATTATGAAGGCTGCTTTCCGATTTGCTGCTTAGTTCCAAGAAACCCCAAGTAACAGTTCAAAAGTGGTGAGTCGGAGGTAAAACTAATTTAGACCCGCAATGTTTGCGAATGGTAAAAGTGCCTTTTAAAAACGGTCATTCTTTCCCGTATTTAAATGCTATTTATAAGAACTCGATACGTCCCTGGCAGGAATGCTTCGATTGGCAAGAAACCAAATCAGATTAAAGAATGGATTTGTAAGAAATTGGTCAAGATCGCAATCTTATGCCAACACGATGTTTTCGCCCAGAACAAAGATATCTGCGACGAAAATCACATTTCCTTAAAGCTATTTCACCCGAACGCAGGTCCTACCATTGCTAAAGGTTCTCATGACCACAATATTTACCCCCCAAAAGCCTGAAACTCACCTGATCCTAGAGTTTCAACTTCAATGGCCTTTGACTTTTCTCCTGTTTTGTCAATGCTCATAGCCTGAACGGTAACCTGGTACTTGGTGCCTGGTTCTAATCCTTTCAAAATTGCAAACGTTGGCGATGACGATACAACGACAACGACAGTGGGCTTTATCGATGATGCAAAGGTAAATATGTAACCATAAGCCTGCGGGACTTCAGTCCAGACCGCTTTGACGGCCGTGGAACCGGCAGCTTCAACAGACTTCAATTCGGGGGTTCCCAGAGGTGGGGCTGAAATAGCAAAACACGGCGAATTGGCCTTGGATCCTTCGATCAGTTTTACGTAATCAGGGATTTTAAAGCTATGGGATTGACTAAACAAGTTGTGTTTTTTTCCGGGGCTAAATTATATACAAGTTTTGCAAGGAACTGCTAGTACTTTTTGCATCAATGGAAAACAAATATAATTTTGCGGTCTTACAGCAAATATAGTGACCCATTTCTGTGTTTTTGTCTTTTATTAGTAAAGTTTCTCCCATAAAAATAAACAATCACTCTTTTTTTCATGGTTTTTTGAAGGACTGTGGTGGTTAGGCCATCTATGGACATCACAAAAGATCGACATTACGTTTGAACAACTTGTTCGTCAGAAATTGTGCTGCATCGCGGTAGAGTCAGACGTAGTCTCCAACGTTTCCCAAACCTGAAACTCACGTGTTGGTGGCTGTTGGATCACCAGTCCACTGCTGACTTCCGGCCCATAACCGCCTCCACGTCCATCCACCGATTCGACAAAAGCGGCAACTTTGACGGTGTAGTACATGTTTCTGTCAACGTTTTCGAACGTGGCCCTTAGGTCGCTAGTTTCCTTCAGCTCTTGAATGTTGCCATTTTTGTAGAGTGCCACGCGGTACTTGGAAAGTTGGCCCGGCACGCTAGCCGGGGCCTTCCAATTAACTGTGAGCGTTGTTCCAGCCAGAGAAGTGGTTAAGTCCTGCGGTGCGCTGGGAACTAGAGCAGGATGCGAGAAATTATAGAGGCTTAATGAAAGCTACACAGAAATACGTCATGAATTTACTTACGAGTTGTTTTTTTAATGAAATTTAATGGACAATATCTAGCTTGCACTCTTGTCAAAGAATTTTTGGATCTGCTTCCGAACAATCCAGGAGTTTTACTGGCGGGGAACATTTCACAAATAGCCTGATTCCTCACCAAGAGATCAGCTACCACAGGCGAAAATATTTAACGCAAAATAGGCCACATTGGCAGCACTTCCCTAGTTTGCTCAAAGTCGATCTTATAGAAGCGTTATGGGCGATTATGCTGATTGAGTCCTGGTTTTTACTGGTATGAAAATCTTTCGCTTATCTTTTAGTATCAATTCCATTATAAGCGTTTTTATGAAGACTGATCTAAAAATGATTCTGAGATGCTCCAACATCTATTCTTCAAATAGGTTCCCAACTTTTATGTCTACCTTGCAAGACACACGGCATCATCCCATTTCTATAACCAATGCCCAAAAATTAGTCTCGAAGAATTCAAAACTTAGTTCAAGGAAAAAGGAAGGCAAGTTACTTTATAATTAAAACGGGGACATCTAGGCTCATAAATTAGGCCCTGAAAAGTAGTTTGCTAGTTTAGATTTTGCACAACATTGCAAAATATGGCAGCAGAATTGGGAGTAGAAAATATTGCAAATGAACTTCAAGTCTCCAGACGGTAGCACCATCAAATGTAAGTCAACCAATTTGTCGAAGTATTTTGCATATGTTTACTACTGTTTTTACCCAGTAAGAGGAAGTCAGCAATGACTTACGCCCAGGAGAGGTTTTGATCGAGCCCATGGACGAACGTCGGCTGTAGATCCCAACAGTCGTAATGGCGACCTCGTACTCAGTTACGGCATCCAGCCCGCCAATAGTAAGCGACATTGCGTTTGCGGGAAGAGAGCCAGATTTGGAGAATTTCCCTGATTTTTCCTTGATTTGGTAGTTGAAACCGTACACAAAGGGAGTTTTGGCGAGGTCAAGGCCTTTCCATTGGACCAAAACGGAGTCGGGACCAAGGGCCTCAACCGAAAGCGACATCACTTCGGACACTCGAGCTGTGGCGAAGGACACGGTTAAACTTAAAACTCTGGTAGAAAGTACAGCTGATAATTAAACAAATGCAAACGGTTAACAAAGTCCATTCAAAAGCGATTTTAATCGAAAAGGCTTTGTTCTCACAAGAGAAATGAATAAAACCCTCATTTTTTGGTGGATACTGCAGATCTAATTTCCCGAATCATGCGCCTATGAAGGATGCACACCACCGAAACTCGTAAATAGGCAGAATTAGTTATAAAAGTTTTAAAAAAATGCAACATAGGGGCCTCTAGAAAAAAAGCAATTTATTTACTTACAATTTGCATGTACGTAGAACAATCCGGCCATAACTGAGTCGATCGAGCAATCTTCCTGTGGTTTCTGTTCGTCAACCAAAACGTAATAAGGTTTGGTATGCTCAAGTTTATCAAATGTAGAAGTGCTTTTTCCGGAAACGTTAACTGTCTTTTCCATTCCATTAGGTGTCCACAGTTTGGTCCTGTAATCAGTTTTTGGTCCATCCCACGCTATGCTGAGTGATTCATGCGTGATTTCAGTCACTGTTATATTTGCGATTGAGTTTAAGGCTGCAAAAAATAAATTTTGTTAGGTTGACACATGGCGGACCATTGTTAAATTTGTACATATGTTCCAACTTAAATAGTGTCGACATAGTTTTATGTCCTTTGATTTCATTCTAAGTAAAAAATATAATGCCACAAATTGTAGCCGGCTATAAAGAAGATTACACTTTGTTAAAAGATCAGCCGTTCTACACAACCTGCTTCAATAAGTCCATATAGTGTATTTTTATTTATTAAGGAGAGGACATATTTGAAACAAAGCATTTCACACATGTGTCAAACATGTATATCGATGACTAGGATTTAAAATTATTATACCATATAGGCAATAGAGGGACTTAAAAGTAGCTGCCACAACTATTGAAAATCTTGAGGCTATTCGGCATGTTTGGCAACTACGTCAAAATGCTCTTAAAAAAATTTAACTACGACTTAGACATACATTTTTTTTAGAACCGACATCGTTTTTGCTAAAGATGTTTTATAAGCATATTTACATAATATTTTTAACAATATTTCATTTTTAAATTTGAGACGCAAAACGTACGTCCTCCACACGTTTTAGCTGTAATGGACTTTTTTGAGCCCTGACTCATTAAAGAAAAGGCAGTCAGCTCAACATTGTATTCTGTGCCAGGCTTAAGACCAGTGAGGCGGTAGTTCAAATCTTCACGGGATGGTCTTACGATTTCAACAGCGGGATTATTTACTTCATTGTATGCAAGTTTATACATGTAAACTGGCTTTCCCGAGACGGACCATTTTATTAACAGCCAGTTTTTTCCCCTCGCTGAAGACTCTAGTGTATCAATTGTCTGACCACGAACTGGAAATAAATTAAAAAAAATAATGAGAATATTTCGAGCGCCTTTAAAAACAGGGAAACATATAGAGATCAGAAGTATTATTAATGATATAATTTTACTGCAGAGGATAACGTAAAGATAAATTGTCAAAAATTGAGGCAATATCCAAAATAATACGTTATAAAACCTTTGCCTTCGTAAAATACAGTGTGAGCTAAAGTGATTTTTTAATAAATAAGATTAGTTCATTTACCGTTGCATCACCTTTCATACCAACAGCAAATGTATTTTTGTGCGTTGAATGTTCTAAATTGTATATAGAGCAATTTTGTATTTGAGTATAAATTAGCTGCCAGACAGAGAAGACGATGCTTCCGACAAATTCTTAGCATAACTTTGACATTAGTGGGGTTATACTAAATCTTTTAAGCTATTACAGTTTAGAACTAAAGGTTCAAAACACAAATAGTGATGGTAATAATTCAAAATCTGCTTTTGTCAACATTCATGTTAATTATTTTAATTAACGTTGCATGTAGCACGTTAAAATAGTATTTACAATGCGCTAAAGCAATATAGAAAGAATACAGAGTTGAAAATATAACTTACCATTTGAAGACAGTATTATACACAAAAAACACACAACATAGGACCAATTCATGATTTCGCGATAATCATAATTCCGCCCATTCGAAAGATTTATATACACAAATGAGGTAGGGGAAGGTCAAAGGCATATGAGCTTTCAAACAAAATTAACATCACATTGCCAAGAAATGACACAATAGGCTTTTTCTGACAGCGTTCTACGTAGGTTATTCTTAAATATATCAAGATATATTTTTGGAATTTCCCGGAAACCACTAAAGAATGTTTGATAACCCGTAAATTTACGATTGAGAATAGATTTAGCACATAATTCAAAAAACTTTTATATCAACAAATAGGCTGTATAATGAGAGGTATACATACCATACACTTAATGATTTAAAGCCAGAGGATGGACGAGAGAATTAGACTCAAATAGAGTCCACAAAACGGACAAGAAATTTTCTATGTATTTTTTTTAAAAATACGCTTTTTATTCGAATTACAGTAACATAATTTTTGGCTGAAACATTAGTTTTTTGCACAAAATAACTATGACAATTTTAATTTGTTAAGGCAATGCGTTATCCCAATATAGATTATCCTGTCATTGTGCTATCAATTTGCATATTTTTGAACTAATGCCATTTTCAATGTTAGCCATTGTAAAGTTGAAAAATTGGACTAATCTGCTGTCTAACGTTCCTCTTAAACGATTTTTTTCTAAACTCGACAAAAAATGTTGTGGTTTGTGTAAGTAAAAGGCTGCGAAATGCAAAAACCATGACCAAATTATGAATCTTGTCATAATGCAAATTGCTTTTTTGCAACCTGTATGTGTCAAAAAGCAAAGATGTACACCATTTGACCATATTTTGACGTTTTGGATGTTTTTAAATTTTCTCCTAGTGCCTTGTTCCTACTTACTTTTAATCTGGGTATGCACAGGAATCGAGCAATAATTCAATACCTGAATTGCAAAACCTTCTAATTGTCAAGTTCCCACACAACAAAACTGTCCAAAATTAAAACTTTCGAGATGCAAAACACATTTAATTTCAACAGTTATTTATGAACTACAGAACCCCTAACAAAGAAACCGACTAGAATGCTAGAGGACGGCAGAACGAAATCGCTTATTTACACAACAGAAACAATGTCAGTTCATTTGGTATTTTTTTAGTAGTCAAAATGTTTATGAAAAAAGACGAGCTACAGACAGTATTGTGACACAAATTACCATCTTCCGCTCATAGGTGTCAAAGATCTTCTATATCAGATTATAGGGTTCTTCGAAGACTTAATCTATGAGAGAACCTAATAAATCTAGTTCTCTATCCTAGCTGTCCAAATAAGTCACGAACCTGAAGTTATACATGGTCTACTGAAATGTTGAAATCCCTAAAACAAAATCGTATGTAATGCATGCAAAAAACTTGTAGTTTTTGCCATAATTAATAATTCTGGCAAATAAATACATTGCTCAAGATATCATTGACATGCCTTGTAACCTATTGGCGAATGTTTAAACTTTCAAATTCACAAAACATATTAACAAAAGCAGATTAAAGTCATTTATAATTTCTCACTAAGACGTCAGCAGGAATTTTGAGCGAAAAGTGGACGTCAACACGTTCACTTAATGTATTGGGGTAAGAATTTGTTTGCGGTTAATAATTCAAAGCGAAAATTTACTTTGATGTTTCTGCATGCAATGCTTTTTGCAATTCTGATATTATAGAACATTTTTTTAATTAAATGCAAAATTTCGTAATAAAAATTAGGCAATCATAGAAAAAATGATTTATGTACTTATAAAAACAACGTAAAAAACCGTAGAAATACTCTATGTCAACAAACCATCATAGTATTCCTTTTATCAACCACTTTCTAACATTTATTGCCATTACCATATCCACAGGTCGACAGTAACAAACTAACATAAAAATGTGAGTTTTACTATTGATTTCGTGCAAATGCTTGTTTGCATTCCATTTCACTTGCAGAATGTCGTAAAGGCATTTACTGGTTCAAAACGCAAGGGAAATTAAAAAACCCATTGTGATTATTATTAATGTGAACAAAGTAACCACACATAGGTTTTTAATTTTTTAGAGTTTTAAATAGGTTTTGCGGTTGCAGTTAGATAACCGATTAAAAAATCTAGCTAAGATAATTAATTTCATTCATTGAGCGCAAAATTTTAGACGTATCTGCATTAATCAGGTGCCCAAAAAATCACTGCCAACTAAAAAAAAACTAGCCATTAGATAAATTAACTCAATTACCTTTGTGGAAAAGTAGATTTTGTGTTCTTTTAGGTCACAAAAGCAATTTTGAATGTGTTTGCATAATTAACGAAAGCCTCCACTTTTTTTAAGTTACTGAAAAATGAGGTGCCAAAACGTGCTGGTAATGAATTGATATAATTTAATACAATACACCAGGAATATTATTAGCGCTCAAGCCTCATATTTTGATAATATTTCTGCTTTCCAGCCACCATTGTCCAATATTCAAACTTTCTTTTGCATTTTGAAATTTATTTCACCTAATGTACGCCTAGAAGACTTAGGATATTTTTTGCTTAGTTTCCTCAGGAACTTCTGTTAATTTTAATCAAACATTCATGTAAGCTATTCACATTAAAGGAATGCCATGCCATGTAAATTAAAGGCTTTTTATATCAGCAAATTAAACAGATTGAAGCCAGAGAACAGTTACGTATTTTGAAATGGTAACTGCAACTATATAAAAATTATGGACAACCCTCTTGCATTCACCATTGCCATAGCCTTGGTTTGCTATATTTTATGGGCAACAATGCGAACAACTCCTTTTATATAACATGATTAATCCGAGTTAAAAAGTAAATGACGGGGTAAAAAACTTAATTTTTGCATTAATTTAAAGACTTTGGTTCTGCTGCGATTGATTCTTGAAAGTTTACCGATTCAAATCGAACAATTAGAACAGCATACGATGTTGAGCCATGAAAAGCATTCCCTCAATTTTGTATTGATTTGACACATTTAGTGAGACCCAAAAATGAAAAAACTTTCTTTTATTTTATGTGCTTAAGTATTTTATGATTAAATCTAAAATCAGTAGCAAGTATTCATATTGATACGCTTCAGCGTGTTTCAAAGTTTCCCATTCTATTTCCTAAACTAAGACAAAAGATATAAATATCATTAAGACTTAAAGAGTTAAAAAAATGCAAAAATTAGTTACCGTAGACATTTAAAAGTTGTTAGTATTTTGATGACATCATCTATACCTACATGACCTAAAAAGACTACTATGTTTGTTTTAAATTCCTAATGGCAATGCAATCGAAAGTTTGTCTACTTTTTAAACATCGTGTTTCTTTCGGAAGATGAAGTGTGGTTCTTTGCTGTATAATTGACGTGCCATATGCCCTTTTTACAGTAAAAAATATTTAGAATTACTACATTTACCTAGTTTTTGGTTAACTGAGGTATTTTAACTTCTGGGTACAATATGCCTGGATACAGTCGCAAATTTGATTGGTTTTTGTGCTAAGATTTAAGTCAATACCATCAAACAACTTAGGAATTCTGTGCATTTTCGAATGTTTGGCTTTCAAGAAATGTCAGTTAGTTTTACACAGATCACTATGACATTTTTGAACAAAAGTTAATGTTTGGTTCTGAAGATCGAAAATATTATTATAAGTTTGGCGTTTTGTTTGGTTTACAAACAAACTAAAAGCTTAATTATGTCAGCGGAGTCGTTTTTTTACATTATTAAATGCCTTTGTTAAAGATGTGAATCGTATCTTGTTTATTTTGAAATAGTCATATTGGACTGAATATTGGATATTTACATTAAACAGTTTGGAACAATATTTTTTTGGATTTTTTAATTAGTTGACTCAGGCCACATTTACGTTCTTGATTCTGGTTATCTATTTTCATATTTGATTAATTTTAGCATGGATAAAATGAATGACACTCTCTTATTCGAAGAAATAATTAACCAGAGGGTCGAAAGGTTTCTTGGAAATTATGAGGATCTGTCAAATCTAGCGCCTAATAAAGGAAACCATAACTTATCCTTAGATATCAAGAAACTCATCGAATCTAGTCAGTAAGTATTTGACGAAATTTTAAGCATTTGCTTCAATTTTTTCCATTAATTGGTATAAAGATTACATTCCCTTTATGGCTGCATTGTCTCCTACAGCCAATTAATTGGTGTTAGGTGGGAAAAAAATAAATTTAAGGGCAGTGTTCATTATTTATTTGTCTTTAGGACAAACACCTCAACCTAGATTAATTTTGGTTCACAGATATTTTTTACTACAAAATCTATACTGGTTTCCTATTCTGAATTTGTTAGAGTGAAATCTGAATAATAAATTTTGAAGCATTATTAAACCCCTCACAACCACTAGCAGTGAATAAAAACCCCTGAATTGCAAAAATCCCCTCTTTCAGTATCTGTATTATTTTAGGTTTCAGGAGTTTCGTAAAGAACTTATTCGAGATATCTCTACATTGATAAACAAACCCAATGAGGAGGGAGTTAAAAAAGATTCAAAAAGAAACATCTACTCGCCTTCGGAGTGTGCGCAAACCACACCTTCCAGGAACACTTGCTCTTATCGCGATGATGAAGGTCAAGATACTTCTCGAACGTGTCAACTTAGTGGGCTTGGCTTCTCCTTCACAAGTTCTGTTACCCAGGTTTGCCAAATAAAATAGTATTCTTTGTTAGATTCAAAATAAAGTAAGCTTGTTTTAACAATAACATACATTCACCTATTTTCCAAGTCTTTGAAAAGTTGAATTTGTAAAGTTATGCCAAAATGTGTTTATGCTTGGCAGTTCTTTTAGTCGTTAACTATAGTGGCTCATTGTAATTTTCGCTTTGGTAGGTAGAGCGTTTTAAATTAATTTTAGAATTACGACCCAAATTCTGCAGGGATTGATTTATTCTGACACGGGTTTTCTAGCAAACTCTTCTCTGCGTAGGGATAAGCTGTCTGGGTGATGGAAAATCAGCGTTAACTCTATTAATCCATTTTGATATTTACTAAAAATACTTAAGGCGAAGAAAACGAACCTTGTTTCCAGCAATGTAGAATTTAGTAAAAGGTTGCCTAATAGGGTAGGTGGTGGAGTCTAACATATTTTGTGGTCAGTCGAATCACCCCCCATAAACCTTTACGTTCCAATAATTAATTAAATGATTACTAACATGACTAAATATCCTGTTTGGCGCCGGATTGTAACTCGAAGTAATTAATGTAATGGAATACTGTCTGTGTAATTGTAGGTTGAATGCCAATTAATGGCGACCACTGAGAATGGATGTTTAAGTGGCTACGCAAATCTAAATCTCTGTTTTCCTAGGTTTCACTACACTGTTCATTGGGACCATTTTTTATGCTTGCCATCTAATCCTAAATTTATTCATGTTTGTTAAAGTCTATGCAGACACCACCAGCTGTTATTAAAAATAACTAACAAGTGGTCTTGGATGAAACTATAAAAAAGAGCTTAGCTTTTCTTTAGAGAACACGAAAGTTTGATTAACAAAAAGCCTGCACAGAATTGAGTCGCGGATTTGATCTGGATACGTGTTTTACAGAATCGAATGTGTGGTTACCTATCAGTCATTCATTAATTTACTTCTACAGAATATCCAAGGGCATTTGGATGTATCGGCTGCAGAAACAAAACCTGCTTGATTTGGTCCCATTGTGCTTGTTATTACGACTAATGCCATGAAATGTCTAAGGGTGTGTAACTGAGGTCCACTCCCATCGTACATGACGCACACAAAATGTTACATCAAGTTCTTTGTGTTGATAACTCTTCTAAGGACAAAACATAACCATTGTTGTGAGTGTTGGGCTTGATTTGTTGCCACCTAGCGAACCAGGATTTTTTGTTAATCCTTTGTAATAATTCGTGTGCGTTAGGACGGTGGCTGCATGTTTCCTAATCAAAGTCAGTTGATGGACTTGGCTCAGTCTCTGGACCCGCGCTGCTGCGACCTTGCGCAAAGGCGCGAGGCACTTCGACAGATTATCAGTCTACCCGTCCTCGACACACAGACGTGCGAAGCTTGGACCGCAGCTGCTGACACACCTACGGCTGGAAAAAACGTTTTCGAAGGGTACCCCTCCGTGTCTTCCAGCGTCGCTTCCCTGCATTCGCCTTCTGCGTCTGTGACCGCAAATAATTTGTCAAAAACACTATCCACTTATAGCATCCGCCTCGGCATTTACGACGCACTCGCCGATGAGGATGAAGAACTTAATGTAAGAGCTGTAGAAGCATGGGAACACTTTTTCTCCAGCTGAACTTGTAAGACAGTTAGTTGGTCAAAATTATAAGACTTAGTATTGACCGAAAGAGCTGATGGTCATGGAAGATGGATGTATTTGTTAATCTAAAGCCACTTTTCATGTTGAACACCTGATTTCGTTTGCTAGGCATTTATCGTACAGTTTGTGCTATTTTCAATCAAATAATTAAGCCAATCACCGCGGTATCCCGACTTTCATTTTTTTCTAAACTGCTGGGCCATACCGTTTCGTTTGGGGAATAAAAAATTTCCAGATCATGCAAAAATTCAAATTGATTGATTGTGTAGTGTGCAAAACTGGTCTTGCATCAACTAAAAAAGAAAAATTATGTAAGACGAATGCGAAAATTTGGCGACCATGCTTTCTAGAAAGAAGGAGTCTCTCTTCCTCTTACTGGTAACATTGAGCGCAACATTTCCTTAAGTTTCTTTATTTTTTGGTGTGTAGCTTCTCGCATTGAAATTTGTATCCAAAGCGTTCACAAGTACGCTTAGCAACGTAAAGGAGTGCTATGTTCTCTTGGGTGAGTTCGAAATTTAAAATGAAAGAGAAATCGCAGATTTAAACAAATCGAGTACTTTTTATGTACGCATAGAGAACGCACAGCGTTCAACGGTAGAAACCTTTGTCATAGCGTTAAGCAAACGTGAACATCCACTGAACCTGATCCCAATGGACACTTTTCGATACCAAACCAAAAAAATAAAGAACCACAACTGTCGCATCTTGGCACGTTAAAGGGATTCTTTGTACTTTCCTTCCACAGGCGTCAATGCCTTTGAAGTTACGATTTTTACAATCATTTTACTCTTACATGGTTTCGATAGCACGTACAAGGAGCAGTCTTCTCGTTTTCACATTTGCCTCACTCAACAATTTACGGTGGCTAAAAAATGTCTCAAACAGTAATGTAACAGCTTCACTGAGGCTTTGAATATTAAAAGTTTTTAAGGTTTTCAATATTGAAGTCTTCCAACAATTATTTTTTTACTAAAGATGACTCAAAGTAAAGTGTGGGGCGTTTGCGGCTGTAGCTGGCTCCTAGCTTAAGCGAAGCAAACGCGTCAAGGTCAGAAATGTAAGGCCCTTACTATTCGATTCATAGAACTGCTCGTATTTGACACCAATTTTTGTCTTATTTCGTACAACCAGGGTTCCTAATCACTCTGTTTTATGGCATTGCATGTTATGCGCTTTAGCTGACTATTTGGAGGAAAACTTTACTGCTGATAAGATCACCTCACAGCCGCTATCTCTCGGTCTGGATATTAACAAACCCGAAATTTTAAAGCTACTGCGAGCTGTAAGTAGCAAGTTTTATTCAAATCTTAAGACGATTTTGCTTAATAAATAATTTGGAAAATAAAAGGAAGTGGCTTTTGAAATTCCCCAGTATTTAAAAGTTTTTTTTCTAATTAGCAGAGATATTTAAAATCATTAGTGAATGCGACTTTTTAATGTTGAGTATTTTGGCTGCTTTTTTAGTTTTCTCTCCTTCACGAATTTCACAAACAATTGCCGCATATTTGGGTTCGATACCCTGAGATGTAAGTCAGTTTTGTTAAAAGAGAAATTTTTTGCAATTCTTTCCGATCTAGTTCTCGAATTATGGAGCTTTTCTACTAAGCATGTCCTTTTATGCGAGTTAAGTGCAAAGTTACGTGGTGGAACATCCGTGACAGTTCATGCAATCACTTAGAAAGAATAGATTTTAATGTGGTTCTTGTATTATTTTGATAGGTTATTGTTCCAATCAATAACCATGACCAAGGTTTCAGTTTTTATATTATCAAAATGACTTTTTACTTAAACAAATGATTCAACGAATACATTAAAATTTAAAAACAGCAAGCAGTTAATTCTATCAAAAAAATTAACATTTGCAATTTGTGGTGTGAATTCTGAGTCACAATCTGCTGACTTAGAGGTGTTGAATATTTTTTTAAAATTGTACAAATCCCTGATTTTGTCGGCGTTTCCACACAGGCTGATGAAATCGCTTATGGATCGTTGCCTCGCGTTGATGATGATTGGCTGCCTGCCCACTGGGGTCACTTTTGGAAAGTGTATCACACCGCTACACTTGATATCTCTTCTTGATCCACGGGCAGAATGGATTTCCGAGTGGACGGTTCGTTCATGCAAAACTTTTTTCATGTTGGAGGCTTTTTTGCATCGTTGAACAGATGACCTAATAAATATTGTGAAACTACGCAACATAGTCGCCTTTGGCTGGCCCCATCGAATTAAAAATACACGCAATTATCGACACAAACGGCATGTCGCCTGAGCTGGATTTTCAGCTATTCCCTTAACTTTAGCGTTCACGTCATTTTAAAAAAAATTGTTATCTCCACCGTGGCTTAATATTGAATTTAACACACAGTGACCGTAATAAGTTAAGCTTCTCCCAATTATGGTTGTATTCATGAAAATCAAACGTACTGAACATTTTACCTTGCACACTTATTATTTCATTTGTTTAAGACAGGTTTTTTCTGAAATCAATTGCTATTTATAGTTATTGCCTGAGTCCTGGCCATTCTACCCATCCTTTCCTGTTACTGTTTGTTTCAACAAAGTTCTCTGACAGTACTTGTCTAACCTTAATCAAAGGCGTACCCCGAAGAAGTTCTTCAACAATGCAAAATATTTTAGTGCGATTTTAAAAGCCCTACACACTCACACACAAAACAACTTGCATCGTTTTTAGAGAGGCGCTCATGGCTGTCGTGTGCTATTGAACAAGCTTTCCGCTAACAAGGAAATTGTAAGTGTACATAGACTTCGATTCTACACGTCTTCGAATGGTTTTGTCAATCATTTTAATGGTAATTGTAGATTGCTGTGTGGATGACAAGCTGCATCAGATTTTTAACCCGGAATCCAGGTTAGAGTTTATCACTTTAATTTTAAGATTTAAGCAAAGCCACCTGATTTACCGTCTTTCTTCGGTTCTTCAAGTGTCTGGACAGAGCTTTTCGTTTTTTTGGTTTTCAGGGTTACTTAATAAGATTTTGATCCTCGAATTGAAAAATAAACTGTTTCTTGGTGGGTCAACTACAGAAGCTTTTGAGCGTTTTATAATATGCTTGTATTAAATTCTTGGAATGTTCTTGAGTCATGCTAATTATCCAATGTTAGGAACACTCGATTCTGATAAATTATCATCAGCAAACAGCACGCTGATTGACCTCTACTTGACCGCACCGATATATTATTCCTTCCTCATAGGCAGGTCAAGTATTTCCTCCTACTTGTAATCAAATGAAGAAGTAGGCGATTGTTTGTGCCTAAGTCGACTGTCATGAATACTAACATGCTATTGCAGATTTTGTAAACAAATGGAGTTGTACAGTTTCAAGTTTAACAGCGTAAACAACTTTCAAATGGCATTACTTAAAAAAGGAATTATTTTTAATACCTTTCCCCAGTTTCTTCGCGAACCTCTCGGCCCGGCGGCATCTATGCATCCAGCCATATACAAGCAGCACACTTTTTGCATTCACTGCATGCGTTAACACGGCTCTTATGCTACCGTGAAGCTCACAGCAAATTGTTTCCTGTGGCCGTTTCGAAAAGCGTCTTGCAGAAACTGTCAGAGCCAGCTAAGGTAGATCTGGGTAAGTTCCACGATCTCTAGCGCATCTTTTGAAGCTACGCTGTTCGCTTTTTGAGCAGTGCTATAACTTGCCTAAGATGCCAGCAAAATCCATTTAGCTGTAGCTAGATGAAATAGCGATATGTAATGAGTATTGCTGGATAATTAAAGGCTCACAAAATTAGATCAGTTTGGACCCAAAGTCCAACAAATTCAGGCTGTATTTCCCGGAACCTCTGTTATGTGGGGTTGAATGAAACTGTAGGCTCTTAGGTTGTGTAGTTCGTGGCGGAAACTTGAGTTTTGTCTCCACATTTACTGTTATTTTAGTCACTGGTACTGGAGTATCTATTCGAACATTTATGAGACTTCTCATTGAATTCATTCTTTCCTTGAACTACGAAGACACATCAAAGCCTCCAGGTACGTTGACAATTATTTTGTTGTTTAGACAATGTGCAAGACTATTTGTCTCTAGTAAATCTAAAAATCCGATCATCGGTCTAGACCAACTCTTAGTGTTCGTATACTCAACTGACACGTTTTTAAAAAAAAACATTTATCTCCTATTCTGTTTAAAGGGGTTTGAGTGAAATATTAACCTTATCTTGTGAGCTTTTTTAATTTCAAAAAAACCGTATGTACAGCCTCGCAATGGTATTAAGCACAAACACTGTACACGATTCCATTTTAATTTAGCTTAGTTTAATTATCCAGATAGACAAACTATAACAGAGAGAGTTGGTAATATTTGTACAGGTTTATGCGTGTGATCCCAAGAACGATGAACATCCAATGAAAAAAATTTTTCAACAAACAATTATGGCAGCGTAATGATTTGATTGCGTATGATATGAAGCGCCATTCATGGAATGAATAACTTTTAAAATTTGCCCAGCCAACGGAGCAGAACAGCGAATCAACGTCTGAGGATGCTAATAGGCGACAACTTAAAGGTTATCCATGTGTGCCAAAAACAAAACAACGAATAGTAAGAGACAATTTTTATGTATCGAATTTGCGTCCTTAAATTGCTCCGATAAAATGTTGTTATTTTTTACTCACCGGCAAAATTTTGTTAGAAATCCATGTTTGTAATTTGACATCTTTTTGAAGGATTTTCACTTAAGTATCTCGTGGGCGAATGCTTCCACCGCCTATCCACCTGCCCCTCAGCCGTCGAGACTTGTTTCGAGCTAAACTTAGAGGCTACAGCAAAAAAGAAGAAAACTTCGGTGGGACGAGCCCAGTGTCTAAATGGTAGTGAATGCGGCAATAATCAATCAGCGATTTCTTTACTTTCATCACGCGTCTATTCGTCTTTGGGCGAACTCGCGGTAAGTCATGTAGGAGTGCAAACCAGCACTTTTTCCTGTTTTATCTTAGATCAAAGCAGTTCACTTATCAATAGTAATTGATATGCCGCATTTATATCTTTTTCATCAAGATGTGGCACAAGTTTGATGTTATTAGCTACGGTAACTGTTTATTAAAAGTCACTGTCAGTGGCAAATATCTAATGCTCCAACATTTGGCTACAATGCTTAAGGTAACGTTATATTGAAAATTATTTTTAATAATTACTTCCGAGAACCTTAATTTAAAAAGTTACCTTGATTTGGTACCTAAATGCCAGTAAACGAAGCCAGAAGATTATCTGAGTTAAAACTTTGCAGCCGGATGTGACATTATATGCTTTTTTATAATTAAGGACCTGGACGAGGTTAGTGAAAAGAAGCCTTACTATGAGAATATCTGTACGTTTGCGGCGGCCTTAGCAAACATCTGCTCAACAGCAAAAGGTCGAGCTTATTTCAACGGTCAGAAGGCATTGAGGTACTTTCAGCTACCATTATCACCGTAAAAATCGGCAGCAATTATGCTACTCTTTCCCTCCTCGTTTAGTCATGCGCAGCCGATCGCTCGAGCAATTTCCAGGTGCTTGGATTTGATGGCAAAAGTAGACGCAGAAATGATCGCTGGAAAACGCCAGCTTACTCCGGCTATTCAGATAACCGCAAAAATCAGCGCCCATCTTTTGCAAGTGTTCATTTCGACTTTTCTGTCGCCGGAAGGCTGGCCTTTGCGCGGCGATCTGGAGCTGCATTGGAGGGTGCTCGAGTCTTGGAAACTCATGGTACGTTAAAGACAATTCCTTTTCATTAGTGTATCAAGATTTTGGTCTTTAAGCGCCACATTTAAATCATGGGTAAAAAGCTAGGGGTTAGCAAGTGATTCAACTAATCCACTTGTACAAAATCGGAGAGTTTAAATTCCATATAAAAGGCATCATTACGGTACAAACAAGGTTGTAGGGAAACCAAAGCAGGCACTGCAATTCGAAGACAAATTTTTAGGGAACCGGTAGAGAAAATGGCTTCCGCACTAAAAAACGCTTCGTGTTGCTATGTATTTGTGTAGGGTTTGGACTTATGACATTTGGGGATTTATTTAAACAAATTAAAAAAGAATGACTAGAGTTGTTGTTTTTTTGAAATTACCTCTCAAAAACTCCTAGAAACTTTCCCAAAAATTAGTCTGCGACTTTTAAGATGGCATTATATTACTTGGATGAATTAAATGAATTTTAACAATTATTTTAAAGAAGGATCTCTTCCACAATGTCCCTTTGCCATTGTATCAAAGTTTAGGTTCTTGTTTATTGTCCAATGATTTAATACAGTGCGCTTATTGACAACTGCCAATGTTTTGGTGACTAATTTTTATTTTCCGCGGGATAACTGTACCATTAATGTTTGTACGACATCTTAAAGGCGGTGATTTCAATCTGTGACTGATCAGAATTTTGTAAGGCTTCTAAATCAACAAGAATTCCGTGGTGGTAGAAGTTGAATTTGCTGCCAGGCAAACCATTAAAGGAAAAACCAAAGTACTTCGAACACCATGTTTTTCAATACAACAGTGTTTACGAGGGGTACAAGGTATAAAGGCGATGATTGTGTGTACCTAACAGAATTAAAGCTTGCTATAGGCGACAGTAGTGCGTGTACCATGGCCGAGTGTACCAATAACTCACGCCTTCTGTTAGCATTCGCCTGGTACGCACGCGTACTCATTCACGCACAAAGCCACTTGCCTGGGATGACACTAACAAGCTGTCGTGTTGTCCGCCGCCTCTTCCCCCGTCTTCTCGGGTTGTAACGGTCTCTTAACTAGGGGGTTGTAAGGTAGTGCTAAACTAAGCTGCTACAAACTGTCCACATTTTCTCAAGGTTAAGAATTGGTGTTTTTTTAAGAATATTGTGAGGCGACCAGCAAGCCAGCACAGTTGGCATTCGTGAGCGGACGCAGTTTGCAAGCGCGAGCAAACACAAATCAATCGATTTTTTCGTGAATGCACCGCTGCGTGTATGCTTGCTCGACTGTATCTATTTTCGAGGAAACGAAAATGGCCAAAAACCTTTGTCGGGCGTGATTTTTTTCGAAATTGGAATGACGGAGCCAAATACCATGTTAACAGTTTCTCATGTTACTTCATCAGCCAATCAGGCTTTCAGAACGCAATTAGGTTTATTAGCGGTGACTCAACCAAAAATGCTTGATTCAAAGAAAGGTTTGTGGCGAGCCGAACGCCAGCATAGTTAGCATTCGTGAGCGAACGCAAATCAATCGATTTTTACCGTGAAGACACTGTTGCGGACAGAGACAGCCAATGCTCGCGTGAGTGCTGCGTGTGTGCTTGACCGACTGTATAAATGACTCACCCTCTTTGCTATTGGCTCTTGTTAGCAGTCGTCCGTAACGCACGCGTATCGATACGCACACAGAAGTTAGTTTACTCGATTTTACTCGACTTGACTTGACTGGCGTGACGTGAATAAACGGTCATTTCCCCTTTCGACTCGTTACTTTCTCTCTTCTTAGGCTGTGACTGGCTGTTATCTATAGGGTTTTGCGGTAGTGCTAAACTGCTTCCATTCAGCAGTGGTTGAAAAAACAAACAACTTCCCCATCATTGAAGTCTATTTGTTGCTCTTAGCTTGTTGGAATTAGTGTGATACGCTTCTATGGGAGCTTTCTACTATAACGTTTTGTATCCTAATTGAGTCGTAAGTACTCAATACCATTGCGCACGGCCTGATAAGCTGAAGTCTTTCGACTCCTCAAACGTCCGAGACCAATTAAAGGAGATGGCGTTGTTGAAGGCGTTGAAGCACGATACAGAACGAATTACCCAAGGAAGAAATGAGGTGGGGGAGAGAAAGAGACAATTGTTTACGCGATGTTTCAACCAATTTGTGTTGATTCCAGTGTGTATTCAAATGAGGGCATGACTAGTGTGGGTGTTGACCGATACAGTTGGGGTTTAGATGTAACATTAAATGAATGGATGACTGGATAAATGAAGTGGGTAGCGATGGCGGGAAATGCGAAGGGATGTGTAGGCAGGCAGTCCTGCATAACGACGAACACTCTGTGATGGAGCATGCGGCGACCAAGCTGGTGGTCGTGACTACGCACTATTCACCACAGCTCTCATCCTTGGCGGAAGCAAATTGCCAACTGTATCTAACAAAAGGAATACTGAAAGGCAGGCCGTAGGTTTGTGTGGAGTCGATCTGCTGCCAAAGCCGACTGATGAGACCACGTTGTACGAGGAGGGATTTAGGACCCAAAGACGGGCGTGGTTTATGTGGAGCGGTTACGTGCCAAAATATGAAACAGGAGAGAAAGGCTTGAGGGTTGGCTTTCCATAAGGGTGAGCAGCACTAGATAAAAGCATGTCGTAAGTCGTGTCGGCGGGTAGTCAAGTGTCAGCTCGTAGATGGCCAAACGCGTTCAAAGCTGGGGTCGCCAATAGACAAAGACAAAGAAGAGAGCGAAGACGCAAACGCTTGGATATCAAGATTTTCTTGATAGTTAATACCTCAAGAAACATCAATGACTTGTCCTGAGACGATTTGCTTTACTCATATTCTTTTCCCCTGTCACTCGTGCGGCTATAACTTCTGTGGATAAACTGAACATTTTTTAGTTCTATGCAAAAGCCATCGAAGTGACTTGAGCAATATTTGCCCAGTAAACACCCTCATATTAGGAAAAAGTCGTCGAAGGTCTGCCTCAGTGACGAAGGGAGAATTACAATATAAATTTGGGTAAATTTGAAGGGGTAGTTTACACTGAGTAAATGAAAGGGATTTCTAATCGGTATAAAAGTCAATTTTGTTAATCGGTAAAAACGCTTACGCACCTATATACACATATGTGTGTAAATAACAGGATGGCCATGATGTAACTAAGTCTTTGTTATCTAAAATTGCAATTAACTGGGTCAAAAATCATTACTATTGGGCAATGTCACACTTGGTTTGTGAATAACGGCCTACATTTTAGGTTGCTGTTGTTGTTAGATGGTGCAAAAATCTTGTCTTCATTGACTTGCAATTTAAAAAAAGGAGGATCTGGATTTTTTAGGCTCAGTACCACCCTGGACATGCCTGTGTGTACAACATTGCCCATTTTTATTGGAAAAATAGCTAAAAATTGTTTTTTTCTTCCGAGGCATTAAATGGCGTGCAGTCATTTTGAAATGTTAGTTGGCCGCAACCGATTTGGACTGCTAAGTGCTAATTTAAACCCCGCGGTGCTAGATATTTCATTTTTAATGCTACGTAGAAGAGGTCATTTGTCGAAGCACACCCTCAGTTTATTTGATCGCACTTAGGAAAAGTGGCACTGCCATTTCAATGTTTTCTTTTTTAAAATGTAGACAGTTTTAAAATGTAAGGACTTCATTAAACAGTGCATGAACCTTGCAAAAATGAGCTAGATGTCTAAACATGCATTTCTTTGCAGGTAAATATATTTAGTGCTAGTAGTCGCCAATCAATGGTTCCTCAGTTCATGTACGTGCATAAATCCTTGTTTTTCTCTTTAAGAAATTGCGATTTCAAGAACGCTCAAGCGAGTAAGTCCTAGTTTTTACAGCGAGATGCGAGTACTTATAATAAGAGTAATCATAGAAATTTGAAAATAATTAGTCAACGTTTAACAATGACAACCAAGTAGAAATATTTGGATAATATCCATAAAGAAGATAAAATGTTAATTCAATTGACAATATTGATTATCAACATAACTTACACGGGTTGTATATGATCAACAAGGCATTTTTTGGGCCACGTAGGTTTGATTTACTCACATTTGCAAATGAGAAAATCATCCCATGCAAAATTGTAGACTGTCAAGTGGTGATTTTTTTTAACAAATTTATCTCAAGTAAGATAAAGCTTACTTAATTGGGAATCCAGAGATACAGGTGGTACGAAAACTATGCTAAAATTTCACCAATGCCATCCTTTACGTACCTTTAGTAAATCTCGAATTAATTTAACTGTGGTTAAACAGTTACTTAAGATCAATTCGCAATATGTTTTATAATTGTGGCACAAATTATACAAATTTAACAAACCGAAATTTGGCCCTTTACTTTAATCCCCCCAGAATGCAGGTGTGAAGACTCGATGGAATTTTTTTTATCTTTATCAAATATTTGGCAGACAGGCTGTGAATCTTAATAAACAGGACACAAGATGTGGTCATTAGGAAAGCTCTTAATTCCTGGCTCAATTTTAAATTCCTAGTTATAAATGCTCTGGGGTTTGTAATGCAAAATGGAAGAATAAAAAACTTATGGACAGTTTTAGCAAGAAATGAAAAAAAAGTGCTTTTATGTTGAGTTTTAGTTTCCGTTCACATTATTTTTTTATTGATAGTTGGTTGTAAACTTTTTATGTACAGTTCATGTTATATCTTATAGGGCCCTGAACGCCGACCAATCTGTAACGGCATTCCAGAAGTCATTGGAAAACTTTGTTTTGACTCTTCTTGGAACACCAAAGGGCTTAGAAGTGATCCGACGCAGTGACCTGCTAAATGAATGTACCCAATATCTCCTTGTAAGAACAGATGACGTACCTAGTTGTCAAAATGTACTCATATCTATATCGTATTTTTTTGAAAGCATATTTTCAACTTACCGGCTGGTCAAGTTTGGACAATACTTTTAAAAGGACTTTATATTATGGCTTCTGAAAATTTGACTGTTAATTTTCCACTAAAAGTATTTTGTATTATGAAGCATTTCTGGAGACACTTTTTGAATAATTTTGAGTGTTGAAGAAATACCAGCTTGTCTAGTTCATGATTCTATCTTTATCTAATTTGAATTTGGTTCCACAAAGTAATCTTACATGAAACCGAGAGTCGTTCTAATTGCATTATTTTGCCCTCTAGGTTCAGAATCTTTCTTGTGACGACGGAGACACTTTAATTAGCCAAATTGCGACAAGTGTTGAAGGTTTTAGATGTTTAACTGAGACCTGCCTCGTGGAACGTCGGCTGAGAGAAATGTGGAAGGTGCTGGAGTGCTGGACAGAGACAGTCGACAAATCCTCCTCTGATGAAGATGATACAACGCTCTCATACGAATATGGAGATGGAGAAAGAATGTGCAATAACTTATTAATTGACGGAAAAGAACAAACTTCTCAAACGCATGACGAGATTTGTCCAGCCCTTTGGCCCGTTGATGTCGTAGATAACTCAGTACAAAAGGTATTCTTCCACGATGTAATTAGTTTATTGTTACGTCTGCCCGTAACAAGAGAGAAGGCCACTCAAATAACGGTACCAGATCCCTTGCTGAAAGCTAGAACCGACCTTCCCAGGCTAATACCAGAACAAGACCAGAGCTCGAGTAGAGAGCTTTATTCACGTCAGCCACGTGCAGAGAAGGAGTGAAAACGAAACTAATTCAAGTCAAGGTTGACCCTGACTTGATAAAAGCGTAACAAAACAAATGTTAATAAATTAATGTAAATAGAATCAGAAACCAATCTTGGGGAATCGTGGATCCCCAACATTTAGTCAGCACTCTACTTCAATCTTAGATAGCTAGATAAGTAGTATTATCTTTAGCAGTCTAAAATAGCATTTTGCAAGGTAGGTGTATTCAAATAATCAATGTTTAGGGTCAATCTGTTTATCAAGTTTAAATTTTGCATTCACATCTCCATTTTAGCCATTTAATCGCTTGATCAGTTTGTTCCCGAATTGGTCGGTTGTTTTGGAGGCTCTAAAGGAAGCACGAAGTGACGCCAAATTCCGACCTAAAAGTGAAAACACGCCTCAAGCGGGACCAAAATCTCTTCTGGTAGGTGGATATATAGATATCGATTATTTGCGTGATTACCCAATGACACAGAATGCATATTCTCTATTGACAAAATACTAAATAAAGTGGACGCCTCGGGAATATTCAGTTTTTTGCTAAAATGGGTATCACTTGAAGTGTGAAAACGCTGAAGTTTTTTAACTAATCAGGTTTTGATAGCTGCAGGCTTCCCACTGATTTTAAATAACATTAAAAGCTTTTAGCAAAAATCTGCTCCTACCCCAGGAAATATTCTGTTGCAATAGGCAAAAAGAAATGGTTTTGAACTTATCCGTAGGATTTCAAGACACTACGCTTGTTCTAATATAGCCCAGTCAATTCAATTTAGCATAGTCTAGATGTAGTCGAGCCGAAACAAAACTGTTCCACAATTTTGCTAAAACTGTCCAAAATGTGAGCTCTTTGAAAAACAGATCATGAAATTGTCCAGTGACAATGACATTTAGCTTCCGATAATCAGGAATCGGGCACATCGGAGCCGCTTTACACCAGTGAATGCTGGCTGCTAACATTTACATTCGATTGCCTAGGAACTCATCGACTCAGTAATTATGCTGGATTCTCCAACCAAGCTATCACAGCTCTGTCGACCGGAAGAAACTATGGTTTTTGGTTTGCGGTATGGTATTTTACCCTAAATTCTGACAAGTGTGCAAGCATCCTAATAGGCTCATTAGATCACTAAAAAATAACAAAGAGTAACAACGAAAACTTCGGAACTGTACATGTTTTGTTGTCAATGGACACCTAGGGGGCGCAAACTACCTTTGTTGCATAGAATAATGCAAAAAATATTGCATACATTTGCTACATGCTGAAGAACTCCATCAAAGATCTTTCTAATATTCATGCAAACACCAAAGTGCGAATTAGGGCTTGAAGACTCAAACAATTCTGCATCTTGAACCTAATAGGGCAGTTTTCGGGTGGCGATGGCAACAGCAATAGGAGAGGAGAAACCCACAGATACTTTATAAATCAAGCTTTAATAATTAATAACAATTAACACTGAGCTATGTTTTTGCCACCCAAACCCGCGTTTTACTTACTTGAAGTAAGCCCTTATTAATTAGGCGGTTATTTTGCAGGTTTCTGAGCATTCTGGTATCATCGCTCGATACTTTCTTGCTTCTTGAGTCAAATTACGGTGTGATTGCCATGCTTCTCAATGGACAACGTCGAAGTGCCATGGCGCAAGACAACGCTGATGGAACGACTGGACGGTTTTTGATCGACGAGGGCGTTATCGAGAGGAATTATCTCCTTGTTAAGTGCTCAGTTATTGGTGGCCCGAATGAAAGAGCTCTACCACCTCGCAACTTATGCAAGGTTAATTTCTTGTCTAATGCGATGGTACCATTAGCCTTCAAGCACAAATTCCGCTAAATTTGAATTAATACGGATTCACATTGATAAGATAGTTTAGTGATCTTGTGATAAGATTTCAGAACAAAATATTTCTTGTGCCAAGTGTAAATGTTAAATCGAGAGTATAACACAGAATTCTGTTTACAAAACAAGTGACATATTGCAAGTCAACCACAAAAGCCCATTATGTGTTGGTCATGGACGTGTATCACATAATGACGTGTAGGACCTCTCTCTTACAGCAATCTTGAATCAGTATTACTCCGTTACCTAAAGCCTGTAGTGACTCATGGTGTTTCACTCTAATTGTTTAAAAGAGATAGACGGAAGAGAAGATTTTTGTGAAATGGAATGATGTTTTGTGCGGGAGAATCAATTTATGCTTTTGTGAAGGAAGGATATCTCTGTCCACGTAACACAGTGATCCCCTTTCTAAGGCACTAATTTGACGTTATAGAAAAGTCTAATCTAACTGTACATATAGAGGTTTAAATACAAGAATCGTAAATTTGTTTAAGCATGCCGTCTTTTCAAAATGTTATTGGCCTTTCATGCGCAATTGATTTCGTTGCGAGCGTGGCCCATTTGGTTAAAAACAAGGCTCAGGTGTTTTCCTGTAGGATCGAAGTTATCTAGTTTAAACACGTTTCAAAATAGATTAAACCTTCTTACTAGCCCATTAAGTTTAAAGTATATTTCTTGACAAAAACATATGACTACATAGCCACAATCCCGTACAGTGTCTGTTTGATATAACACAGTAGCCTTGTTTGAAAACAACCCTGGACGTGGTTACAACCATTTACGTTTCTTCTACTTTTTCATGCTCTTATCGTAAATTGGAATTTGGCGTAGACGTAATTTGTTTTCAAATTTTTAACACATTAAACATAACTAGAAACTCGAACATTTAAAACATATCTGTTTGCCGCAGCCGAGATTGTTGGTTTCACCCTATTAAAAACAAAGAATAATGTGTTAATGCTGAAAGCAATTAGCATTCACAAGTGCCAATAGGAACATCGCGAGCGTTTGCTGGCAACTTACCCAAATTTCGATTCAAAATACTTATTTCTCCAAAAGTTGTATCTTGTGCATTATGCATGTGTACTCATTGGATTTTAAAACTAATTCATGCAACCCTAAAAGGGTAAATTTAATTTTCTTGAAACTTGAAATATGCATAATTTTAAAAAGGACCTTTAAACAGACGCATATTTTTATTATTATTCAACAGGCTGAGTTCCGTCACAGTGAACAGTCTCGGACACCAGCTAAGTCAGCAAATAAACGATGTCTAAACTTACTAGTGTAATTGTTCTGCGCAGACTAAATTTTTCAATCCACTATCATCATGTTTTCACAGTTTTATATCATGAATGTATAGTATTTAGGCATTTGCATTATAATAAAATCACAGTCACAGTAAAGTACACCCATTCTGAATACACTACAAGGCCTTGCCAATGTTTGGTGGCACTTACTTGTAAATAAAAATGAAAAAAAAATGTAGTTAAGAGAAGACACATGTCTTTGGTACAAACACGTAACTAAAAAAGTGTATTGATAATGATCAGTTTATTCAAAATGTTTGTTGTTTAACAGCACAGTCAAGACCCATACCCCTGTCCCATCCTGACGAAGGTGAATCCAAGCAATCTGGGGATATTTACAAACAAACATGCCCTTTCAAAACGCCTCTGCAGTCTTTGTCCATGTCACAATGACGTTGGATTACTTAATTCAGCCTCGCACTCATCAAACGCCGTCTCATTCACCACTATCGTAGCAGCCGGTCTTCGGCAAAGCGGCAACGCCCCGCACAAGTTGGGGTGTCAAATTCTGTTCAAGCTGCCACGACTTCGAGCTCGGCTTCGGACGCTGGCTAGATATTCGTCTCAGCTGAACACAAAAAACCAAGGCCAGTTTCTTGATTCGAGTAATACCGGATTGTGGCTTTGATTAATTTATCGGCGCCAATTCAAGTAAACAGCTTTGAAGAAGTATATGCCATTATCACTACTAAAAATATTCCAAGATAAACAGCCATTAGGTGCTCAATAGCTCGATTTCTAGGCTATGCATATTACTTATTATATGGCGTCATACTCACATTTGTACCACAAAATACATGTGCAGACTTAGCAACTCCAGATTTATTAGCGGATTGATCGTGTGTGCTCCACAGAACAGCCCTAATGAGTTTGAACCGACTTCTTTTTCTTCTTGATTGATTTCATTTTGTTGCTCTATGGGATTGTCAGTGCAACAATGACCTTTAAAGTCGGATACCATTCTAAATGTTATTATAACCAGACATCTAAGTTCAGGATATCAACAACGCCTAAAAATTTTTTAAAATATTTTAGACACTGGTTGTCTTTTCGAAGCTTGCCTTCGTGCGCTGGGCTGTAGAACAACCTCGGATGCTTCATCTTGTAAGTTGAACGTACAGCCACACTTTGTAGAAGATTGACCTTTGCAAGAGTAGCATCTGAATGTTTTTGTCCAGTGTGTGAAGATTCAGCACAAACGTTCCCATTTAAAACTGCGAGTCAGGTGTTGAGACGCCATATCTTACTAACTGCCCAACAAAGCTGAAGTCGGTGGAAGGACAGAGAGTCAACCGTTTATTCAAGAACTTGACGAAGGTGTGTGGTCTGTGGGGTTTGCGCGTGCGTATTTTTACTTCGGATGTGTGAGTCATACATACGCTAACATCGAGACCTATGTGTGGGGATAAGCTAAGATAAATATTCGTGTTAATGAAGGGGGAGTTGAGGATTCGCGCGGCTGGCACCATGCTGCGAGAAAGGGGAACCCTGTGTCGGAGGCGGAGCGATCGGATTAAGGGGTTGAATAAACACGATTCACAACAGCTCTCCCCCTTAGCGAGAGGATCCGGCGAACCTTGTCATCCGCTAGGGTTTTTAGAAGGTAGGCCGTGGGTTTCACGCGATTTTGATCTCTTTGTCAAAGATCCTGACTTCACTCACGACTGATTGCAAATGAAAACAGGTTGCAAAACACAAGAGGAGCCGTAAATATAAATTACCAAACTATGAATAGAATATTACGCCCATAGGGTCATTAAAACCTGTTGGGAAAGATTAAGTGCATGATCCCAGAAAAAATAATATAATGTATTGTTTAGACCCAATGACCTCTAATAATTTTAATTTTTTTTAGTAAGAAACGATGTCAATCCTTCCTTATTACCTGCGTGGGAAGAAGCGGCAATTAATCTTATTATCAAGTAAGTTGGTATCTATTAAACGCGAGATTGTTTAGTTGTCCATTCTTATGCACCATGGTGATGCATTTACCTTTAATATAGCTCTCATTTTGTTATATTGGTCGTTTGATCGAGTATCACTTGCATAGTAATTTTTCAGCAATTATTCAGAACTTTAGTTTATTAAAACAATTGAGAGCCAAATTCTGCATAAAAAAGATTTTAAACGACGCAGGTAATTATCACGCTTGGTTATTAAATCAACTTTAAACAATGAAACACAGTTCTACAAATTACAAAATGTGCTTCTCGAATACAGATAAATCTTGAAGTATTTTATGTAGTTTTATGGCAGCGAAAATTTGCTGATCTGAAAAGCCATAATTTTTCATGCTGAAGAGTGCAGTTCGCTTTCACAATTGTTGGCAACATTTTATTTATGGGAGTTGAGTTATTACTGTGCAACGTCCTTGTCCAAGAAGACTGTTTATTTGAACAACTGGCCTAGAGAATGCCCTAGAGACGAGGGCTGTGATAACGCAGCGTGCTTTGCTCTGACAATGGCTGGTTAGTTGGTAAACACAAAAAGCATCCTCCCGATCGTGGCACGCTGATAAAAACCCTAGAGCTGGGATATCTTTGCGTAGTTTGCGTTTCTTTTTTTCCAAGCTCTAGCAAAGTAGCAAACCATCTGTGAAAGTGCTCCTTGGAAATGCATTGGTACAAACAGATTCTGAATCTTCGTCAAAACGCTATTGTTTACAGCTGCAGTTACATGAACTTGGAGGGTTGTAAAATGCGCCTGTTTTTGTCCGCAGCTATGGACGGCGAGTGCAGGCATTGGATGGTAAATGTCAAGAGGCGCATCAGAGACAGGACATGGCGGGGCTACTTACTTCAGTCAGAGGATTGTTTTGTGATTTGAAGTGTCCAGCAAAAGGTCCAAACGACAAAATCGGTAAGAAGCACGGTTTTCCGCTCATCATATGAGTGCGTCGTGAGTAATTTTGATCCTCACGAAAGTCACGAAAGTATTAAACTATTCATTGGTCTTTGCTCTCTTAACTGCAAAGAAACAAGGCTATTGTGGTCTATCCATTAGAGATTTAAATGGTAATTGTTTTGTCAAACTTGATGCTTATTTGCTATAGTTCTATGATTTTTTTCTATTTTAAATTGAAGACAAATGTCAACATTGGACCAAAATACCTAAATAACCACATCAAAAGTTATTTGGATTAGCATTTTTACTTGAACTAGGTAACCTTAGTTGACTTCAAAGTATATTTAGTCACAATTTTTGTTATCAACATCGTTTGTTGTATGTGCATTATAAAGCACTATCGAACGGTAGCGCTGATATCTTTGAAGGTTACGCAGACACGATTTGACATTTGCAAAATGCATCAAGTAAAATCGCCCTAGTTGGGTGCAATATAATGCACATAAATTAGCTTTTACAAGGGCTGTAAGGTATGCCCATACAAGGCACGGAATTATGCGTAGAAAATGTTCTTCCTTTCAAAAGCCATCAAAGAATACTAGTAAGAAACCTAGTTTGTGACTACTCGGTGGCTTTTTGTATTTTATTTGCCTGATATATCCAGTTTTAACTGACCTGTAGCAAGGAATCATGTGTTTCATTCATTCTTACGGATAATCATATCAGAACCAATTAGCACATAGCAAACAATAGACCGTTGCGCTATCATGAGTGCTACCCAATAAAAGTCGGCTATCCGTTGACTACTGTGAGGTCTTATCTCTTACAAGATCTGGTGTTTATTGAACAATCTGCGCAGACGGGACGAATAATGTGCACTAAAACAGAATTCTTTGTAAAAATGGCAGACGAATTAGTGTAACTACTCAGATGAGTTTCAAACAATAACTAACAAAAAATGTTATTTAGCAGTCAAAAGATTTTGGTACTACTATTGAGAGTTAATTATAAGCCTTCATTAAGATTTGTCTGCGATTAAACTGCAATGCAGAAATTTTAATTCTGGTTTTTCTTGTGAATGTGTTAGAGATGAACCGCGCTTTTACAAAACCATGGTGTTTATGCCTTCAGTCTAATTTCTAATTAAACAATCCAAGCGCTTTGATGAAATTTTTTCATTAAGATGTTTTTAATAGAAACCATTTGCACTTGGAATTAATTAGTGAGTTCTACTTGTTCCGCTGTGGTTTTTTAATTACCTTCTTTCCATATCATATTGATAAAAGAATAAACAGATTAAAATGAGTCGTGAATTTACGCTACCTTAAAAAATTTGCACAGGTAAATAATTGTGCAAGCTTAAAATTAAAAAAAAACATAATTTTTGGTATGCTATGTCATATGAATTCTTAAAAAGAGTGCGTTTATAATTGTAACAAATAACTTTTTAAACGTGCATTTAAATCATGACTCAGCACTTAAAATATTTAGAAGTGGTAGGGTTCAATCCATTATAGTGTCTTCATTTTATTTGACTTATTTAGCTTTTCATTGACCTTTTGGCACTTATAGTGCCTTATCAATGATTTAACGAACAGTTATCCTTAAGTTACTACTCAATAAGTAGCTGAGACTAAATTAATACAACTGACTGCATATAACACTAAAGGCATTTTTTGAGCACTTTAAAGAATGGGTTTCTCAATATTTTTGAGAGAACAGAATGACCTAAGGCATATTTTTACAGCTATTTGACCTCATCTGTCACCAAAACGAACATTTCATGGATTAAGTCAAGACAGGAGATAGAATACGAATTTTGTTATAAAATTCGTTAAGAAAAAGAAGCCAGGGGCGGGGAATTGAAGGTTGAAAATCAATGGCAAAGGCCGATTTGCATCCAAAAGGAAGAGTCTAGGCGGATGGCAGAGAATTAATTTGTTTGCGATTGTTTTCCAAACAATAATTGCATTAAAGTACAGCAGGCATCTCACTCGACTTAAAGTTAAAATCCAAAAAATGTTAAAATTTGGTTAAGCAAATAGACACCATCCTTCACAATGACAATGCTACACTACATTTAGCCTAATAAACATCACAAAACATGGAGAGATTAAATTTTAAATCCCTGAACTTGGTCTAATTAGACTTCATCTGTTTTTTTATCTGCAAAATACTATGAATAGCAATAGTTTAGATTCGATGCAATAAGTCAGATTTAAACTTCGACCTTCTTTGAAGCAAAATCACAAGGTTTTTAAAAGGCAGAAATCCAAAAAAGTATTAGAAGTTGGAAGACCATCATAGGAAAAGATGGATAGTACATTAGTGGTTTTTTAAATTAATATTTTTCAAATGTAATTCGGACTCAGATTAAGTATCAACCCTTGCTATTGCTCAATAAAATGGCACGATAAAATGTGAAAAAAAAATGGAAAAAGCTATAGAAGTACTTCAATCGAAGACATTTATAGAAGCTTCAAGATTGTCATAATTTCGGGTGAAAATTAAAACATTCGTTCCGACTTATGTGTTGAGTTAAATGTGGTTGTTGCTACAGAGTTCAGACCTCGACTTTTCCAGGACATAATTACGAGTAGAATCAAGGGCCTCATCGTCTAAAATCCTTATTCTCCAATGCAGACCTCTTTTTACTCATTTAGTAATAATCCCAAGGAGGTATATTTATGTGATGAAGCGACTGGTTTAAGTTAGCAATTTCTATGCTTATTTTGATGTACTTAAATGATTTCCTTGGAGATCTGACCTCTAAAGTACACAAAGCCACAGGCAAACGTAAACTATTTGTTCATGGCAAAATTAATTTTTTTAAGCTCTGAGGTGCAAAGAGCAATACACTTTTAGCTCCGATTAATCCATTTATTTATTGCCCTATAAGTTTAGATTCAAATGTCGACACTTTTGATTTACTTTAATAACTAGTTTATTTTGTAATTGTACAAATTTATTTCTCATGCCTAAAACTTTTCTACACATGAAGATTTGGTGTGTAATTGCATAATGGTCAGTAAGCATCCCTTCCTAGGTCTAAAGACATGATCCCGAAAGTTAAACAACAATGCCTGTCTTCAAGTTCCCAAAACGGGAAATCTATCGATTACGTAGTTTAGGTTGCATCAAAATATTTTTCAGCCAAGAGAATAATCGGCACATTAATAAATAATATTGGCTGTTGGACAATTTCGTTCAAATCGTACCGAAAAAAATTCCCAGTAATTTTTGGTATTCTTTTTCATCAATGGAGTTTTTATTTTACCAGTGAATTTAGTGTTAAGACGTAAATCTAGGTTCTCGCTACTGTTTAATGAAATTTTGTGAGACGAATCTTTTGCCTATCTTTTATGCATGCAGTCGATTGCTGTGAAGACTCTCCTCGGGATTTTCATGATCAACAATCAAAGGAGAATTTCAGACCGTTTGATTGGTTTGTCGCAGTAATGTGCTTTGTATTTGGCGGTAATGCCAGCCGTGCGTTTGATTTCCTTGCACGATTCTCTCGTACGGGCTTGTCAAAAGAGCTATGGTTTAACCTAGGCTCGCATGTAGTAAGTTGAAAGTTTCTAATCAGCAGCAATTCTCTAGACTTGTTTATATTTCCACAACATTAATTTATCCTTGAGTAATTTTCCTTATATTTTTACGATGTCATATAATTCAAATGGACATAATAAACACCGGTAGTGTTTTGTATTTTGTCAATCCAATCAGATCGTTGTCTTACCATTTCATTGAAAATGAGCCATTGCTAACTGGATGCTACTCTCTTACTAAAATTATCGGGAGTTTTTTACATTTTGCGTTAAACCAGAAGCTCACACTAAGAGAATTAGTACTCGAGTCCTCAAAGAGACCAAAGATAAGATCCTGCATAGCGAGTTTTTGCTTTCGCCGCCAAAGGCCGAATGACACGTCTGAATGTCGACCGCTTATATAAACCATCGGTGACATTGACACGATGGATCGAAATCAATTAACGTTGATACGGATCTGCTCCATAATTGGGATTCGAAAGAGAAGTTCTGTAAATAATGACGAATCCTAATTAGGGGTGATGGTGGCTTCATTTTAAAACGAACAAAAACATCTAGGATTGGTGGTAGTAGTTGTGAGCGAAATTCCCCCATGCATGCTTGCTTAATTTTAGAAGGCAACATCTAGAGCAGAAACTCCCTCTTCTTACTGCAATATCTTCCATATTTTTGAAGTCATTTTCTCACGTGAACTGCCTCTGTTGTTCAACACTTTCCGCCTTTCTGGATATCTACCTTCAAAGGTAATTTGGAGTGATAACTCCCTTTAAGTACACTTTCTGAAGCAAAGTCTAGATGGTGCACAAAATCTTATTAAATATTTAGCCGGCTGTATGACAGTGCAGCAAAGTTAGGATAAACGGTTCCTTCAGATTTATCGGCGGGCATCTTAACTCTCACTTTTTCCTGATATTAGGGCTCAAAAATTTGTATGTAGGTTGCAATTAAACAAAGTAGGCGGGTGAATTTGAAGCGGAAAGGGTTGAATGAATTTTATTAGGCCCATGCCGGTGATTAATCAATTATTTTTAACATCGAGACAATAGCTATTGAAAAATTCAAAAAATATAGAAACAATTTTTACTTTTTAAGAAGCCCTGTTTCCAATTTTGCTGAAGTACTTTTAACGCTGCTCTACCTAAGACAAACTTAGCAGTTTAAATTTGACACTTTTGACCATTGCAGGTTAGGCTTTTTGATCTTTTGTAAACCACCAATCCAATTATTTTGCAGTTTGGTAACAATACTTATTTTTAAAATATGAGTTCCATCATGCGACTGCTGAGTGCTTTAGAAAAAAAATTGTTGGATTAGGTAAAATACTTTTTCACAAGTTCAAGTAAAATTGAGCAATGAAATTAATCGCAATGAAATAAACTTCTGATTTTGTCTTTACAGTTATTAATAACCTTGTTTGTGGTTTTCATTTACCTGCATGGGGACCGCTTTCTATTTCAGATACTTTCCCATTGGCTCTCGCAGTACTTTTTGAATTATTTGGACTGGCCAGAAATCCAAGACTTCGTCCTTCTTTGTTTCGTTTATGGATCAGAAGCAATCATCTTGACTGGTGTTGCTATAATGCGGCATTTGAAGCCACGGCTATTAGCTGCTCTCCAGTCACAATCGCATATGGTCGTCTTAATGGTTTGTTAACCTGTATTTTCTTCATCTTATTTCAGAATCCTTTCTCCCCCAAGAGTATACAAACGATATAGAGGTGTAATTAGTATGACGGATGAGTCTTTGTAATACTTACTACTTAGTATAATTTGGTTGTACTGTGTTAAATTAATGTACATCACGGCATTTTAATTGTTTACCATCAAATCTAAGCCTTTGGATGCAATATAAGGCATTATGCAGCCTTACCGGTCCTTAACGTAAAGTTTTGACGCCATCTAAGTAGTCATAATGCATTAACTGCTTAAATTAAGTATTTTCTCCCAGTGAATTGTAGTTTCTATATTTGAAAGTTACTTAACAGTCAAATTAAATATCAATTACCACTATCCTGTTATAATCGGTTAAATCGCAGGGTACTCGCGTTTTCTGGAATATTTATCAATAAAATAAGTATTTATTCGACCAAATTAAGAATGAATCTACCCTTTTTTTACAAAACGCAGGGATTCAAACAATTTCTTGTATTATTTCAATAAATTTACTAATAGGGATTTGCTGAATGCAACATACCAGTATTCTTCAGAGAGCTTACTTTTGTCTGTTTCCATAGCAGTCCTAGCGAGTAGGAAAGAAATAACTCGTGAAATACGAAGACAAACGAAAAAAAATATTAACAATAATTGAACCGTCTCTATAAAGCCTATGTTGTGGGATTCGCGCGTGTCAGAAGGTCGATATTCGTCCAACGTCGGGTTCAACAAGTATGTTGTGGGCCCCAGCATGTGGTCTTGAACCACGCCGGGGCCACGGAATTAACCCTGACCCGATTACGCTTGCCTGATACCCCCAATGAAGGCAAAAGACCGGAGAGGACGGGACACAATCGTTTACTTAAGAGTTCAACCAAAACTGGTGTCGTGTCGGGTTTGCGCGTGTGTATTTATACCTCGGGTGTGGGAGTCGTACATGCGCTAACATCGAGAACTAGGTGTGGGGATACTCCAAGATAAGTATTCGTGCTAATGAAGGGGGAGTTGAGGATTCGCGTGGCTGGCGACATGCTGCGAAAAGGGGGACTCTGTGTAGGAGGTGGAGCGACCGGATTAAGGGGTTGAATAAACACGATTCACGACACCGATTCTCCTTTTAATTTCTTCCCTGCAGATAGTCTTTTTCCTATATTGCCCTCAGTTGTATTGTGACATGGAATTTCAAGGCGATTCCAGATATTTTGGTTACGCGTTCCTTTATTGCACATAGGAACAACCCCTGCATGGATTCCGTTTTGTGGACAACCTTGAATTTATGGAAACGCTCTCCGACAAATACAACGAATACATATCCGCTGGACTTTCAAACTCAAGTGAAATCGAATAATACATTTCATCTTTAATCCCCTATTTTGCTTCTGTCATACAGAGACACTTATTTCCTTATGGCAGTTTTGATGGCTTGAGAGCTCATTGTAACCAATAAGAAATACTTACTCTACTCCTTTGGTTTGTTGTTGTAGTTTCATAAACTAGCCATTTTGTCACCACGGTTATCATTGTTAGGATTTGTAGCATATTGTAAAAACTCTTCCAGATTTGCGACTTGTGAATAAAGATGCAAAAGTATTTGTCGGTCTTGCGACTTGTTACTCGAGGGTACTAAACCCGAATTTCTGCAATTAATCATTTATAATTAGAGGAAAATTTGTGCCCTACATCACCATCAGAGAAGGTAGAAAAACCCAGTTTGAACACAATTTTTAATGTTTAATTTGATACAAGATGCTGTCAGAAATTGTACCACGGATTTCTTTAAGCATTACTCACAAATAACCAGGTTGTGTGAAACAACTGAGATATTTTAAAATCGAAGTCTAATCTAGAGTCTTGCAGCAATTTGGAGGTCTCCGGAATTGTTACAACGATATAGGTCCTTGTTTAAATCATTTGGACTTGAGTGCACTGACTAGTCTCTGATGCTCATTTGCTATGGAAACACAGCATATGTAAGTAAAGGTGTTTTTGAAATTACAAGTGAAAATCGAAAATACTTACAGTGTTAGTGCTTTATAAAACTTGAATGCCCACCCTTCTCCTACACCACTTGCAATTAACCTTGTGCGCACTTCATGGCTGTCCCACACCTATTCAGCGTATTTCTCCCTTAAGCCGTAAACTATCGACAGCGTTCCTCTCCACTTGCATCGAGTGCATGCCTTGCGTCCGCGGGCTTCTGAAAAGAGATATTATTCATGGTTAACCAATCAGCGTTCAAATTTGGTGGCCAATGACATGCCGAATATTTTCCAAGAGCGCCTAATTATCGCTCACACTTGCACGAGCGTCGCTTGCCTTAGTCTCCCGCTAGTGTTAGCAAGGGTTTGGTAAGGACTTGCGATGCCCGAAGAAGCCGAAGCTACTAATCAACCAGCCACAGAGGAAGAAACTCCAAAATTGGGTGAAAAGGAGGCGGAAAAGGAATCCCCGTCCACTAACTCAGTAAAACAAGCCAGATGCGTTGTATTGACTGGGTTCGGCGGACCAAAGTATGTGCGAGTGCAGCCTAAGGATCAGAAAGCAGTTGGGAAGGGAGAGATTGCCATTGATGTGGAGGCCTGGTAGGCCAGTTTCTATACTTTTAAATTCTCATTATTTTTAAGCTAGTAATGCCATTTAAAAGAGTAAAATTCTAGCCACATTTGAGCCTTGCCATTTTAATTCGATCAACTCGAAGGATCATCCTTCAATAATAACTTGGAAGGGGGTCGCTTTGGAGCTTGTAAAATTTTGTCATTCTCGTGTACAGTGACAAGCTGTTGGCTTCTTACAACTGCTGCAGTCAATTACTGGCCAAATAGGTCGCTTTTTGTTTTTAGAAATTGATGTTATCGTTACTTACAATTGTGTCAACTGGCCTTCATGTTTGAGTTGAAAATTGTACTAAGAAAAACGGAATTTTCACTGATTGATTACCATAACTTAGGCTTAACAATTCAAGAATATTGCTTTAATTCACCCGTTTCCGTAATAGACAAAGTCATGTCTGCGGTTATTCGTTGTTTATGATCGTGCTTGCACATTAACCAAAAGGGAGGCATGCAAATTGACAGTTTTTTTACCTCAACACTGAGCGAAATGGATGCAAACAGGAAGCGCTCTTATAAGCTGGTACTCTCGTCAACGTAAATAGCATTCGTGTCTCATGCCTTGAAAACACCAAACCGTCATAATGTTTTAGTAGTTTGCAAGTAAAAAAGCTAAAACATCTAGAATGGGATCTAATTTTGTGATTTGAATTTGTTCTTAAATGGTCACATAAAATTGGAAATATCAAACCAGTGTGTAAAGATGCAGAAAACAAGGAAAATTGTGGAATTTATTTTAATTACAAGATAAACGCAACAGCAATGTCACGTTGTTAGTCCTTGAAATACAAAGAGCCGTTATTGGAAGAAATTTTAACTTGAAAGTGGCACAAAGTAGGTGAAGTTACAGTTAGGACTATAAACAAAGACAAAATTTTCGACAACTTTTCAATGCGCATTATGAAGTACAAGCTATATTTTATACTATTTTGTATTTTTAATTGATTTTCTTTAAAATTCATTTAACACCCTTAACAATCATCGCTTTACCTAAACTTTTCCACCTCCATTGCATGATTTCTGATCTGCGCGGTTTATTGTGATCAAACTTCTTTACAAAGCCATCTGTAGTGACAGCTGTAATAGTGCAGAGTTAGTCAAAACGAGTTGCTTTGTGACAAATTTAGACTGCACCGCACCCATCAAAAGTAACTGCAAAATATAATTCTTGAGTACAATGAATGCTTTAGTCTTCACTTAGGCTAAACTTTATGGATGCTTCTTGGTACGCATAATGTTTTTGCACAAATTTATGTGACAGGGTAACTTAAATAAGACTTAGAAACCTAGTTAATGCAATATTCTTAACTTTCTAGTAAAAATATAAATCTAGTTAATAATTATTGATGAAATTGTAATGAGATCTTGACGCAAAATTGGTTAATGAGGGTACTTTGGTCTGTCTAGTCAATAAATCAATCAATTTAGGTGTTGAAACAAACAGCAGATAATGTTTTTTAGTAAAAGTGAATAGGGTATTGGCATGAGTATTAATTAGTAAAAAATTGAGTCTAATTGCAAAATTTTGAGCTTATTTTTCACTTATACGGTTAGATATTTCCCTTAATTCTTGTTGTTATCGATAGCACACACCACAAAGTGGTAATTTCCAAAAATCAGAAAAAATTAGCCGACGTTCGTTCCGGCTGTTCTTACTGAAATGCTTTCAAAATCAAGAGACCTGTATGTCATTTATGCTGAACGTGTCCGACACTGACACTTCTAGGTGTTTCTATCTTCTCTAATTTTCCTTTCAAAATACTTTAATGCGCTGTATTTGTGTTAAACCTATTGTTTTAATCTTTCCTTTATTATATTTGAATGTGAAGTTTGTTACAATTTCAACAAACATTAAAAGCAAATACATAAATAAGATCCTTAATGTTTAGAGATTGATTTAGAGCATCTTTTTTCTAACCTATGCCACCAGCCAATAAGAAAAAGCTTTGCTCTACCCACCTTCAATACCAAACTGTTGCCATCGCTACCGGCCAATAGGATTTCACCCTCGACTTCTATGCATGTGGTTGTGAGGGCGGCTACTTAGTAAAAGGTTCGGCAATAAAGTGAGAAAAAACAATTACATGTGACCCTCTAATGGAGTTGACTATTGTTCAATTTCCAGTAACAAGAAAGTTGCAAAGAGTAAAATTAAAATTTCCAATTAAATTTTGGATTTGAAACTAAAAAACAGGTTATTATATCAATTTTTGCCATTTAAACTTCGTTAAATGATGTTCCACAGTTTCGTAGAAGCTCAAAACTAACGTAATGTTGTGGCACATAGCCATGGCGACCAAATTTAGGAAGTAAATATTTAACGGGCAAATAAAAAGGTAACAGTTGAAATAGTGTTATAGACGCAATTGTTTTCTTTTAAAAAACAGAGAGTGAAATAAAATCTGACTAATGGTGTAATGCAAACAAGGAACTTGAATGTTGTGGAATTAGTTTAACAAATATACACATATTTTACAATTGTTTAGTGAATTTAGCAATGTGAACCAAGCTGCATTTTTTCCTAGTTTTGCATTTTGATATGAAACATGAGAATTTGGGGATAGTGCAAATAATTCGTTCTCTAAAGTCAACTAGCTATTCCCGGACTATTCTTTATTGTCGATGTCTGTGCGGATATACAAATTAACACCAAATAGGAGAACTGACCATTTCGATCGGGCCTATGATACACATTACTCTGGTAGGTAAGTAAAATGTCAACCGTAGAACCAATAAGAGAATTACACGGACTTCTCTGCAAGCCCGCCGCCGATTCTAGACACGGTAAAGTACTTACATGTGGAATGAAGCAGATGGTGCGCTAGCGATTAATTTGACGGCTAGACACTTCAGTTACCCTTAATACTTAATGAGGCTAGATTGCAGTAGTGAAATAAACTCATTAGCAGAGCAAAAAAGACACTGTATTTAACATCTGCACTTAGCTTCCCAGATGATCTCTGCTGGTTCTGTACCTGCGGTATCCTGGGAGTATTATTGGCATGGCGTAGCCCTTTGCTTTATTTGCAAGTGTGCACAACCTTTTCTAATTGTGTTCGTTTAGCCACTTTGCAGTTATCGCACCTCAAATATAGGTCGTTTTGGAACCCAGCTCCATAATTCATGCATGCCTAATTGAATCAATATTTAACGTTCATGGAATTTCCGAACAAACGCCATCGCTGAAATTTTTTGTTCTTATTATGTTGATTTTGAGCTCTAACTTGAAATAATAGTTTAGCCTCAAAAATAAAGGATATGTTGTGTCAACTTATGTTTAGTCGTATTAATTTCAAGTAGTCATTTTTTACAATTCAAGTACTAATTTAACTTGTTGCTAAGAAATCTTTATTTTAGTACATTAATTGCTGCATCATTATATTAGTCTAAACAGTAGTTGCTTAACTGAACAACAGAAAAACATTCAAGGCAGGGAGCATGAATCACATTTTATACATTTTAGTTTGCAAATAATTTGTTTTTAGTGGTGTTGGCTTTCAAGATCTGATGACTCGTCAGGGTTTTCTGGAATTCCTCGGAAGACCGCCATTCGTAATGGGCAGCGAATGCTCCGGCAAAGTGGCAGAAGTTGGAGAGGGTGTGACGGAATTCAAGGTAAGACGAATTATTCAAATCATATTCGTTGACTCACGAAAATAATTTTTTCAAAAAGTTGTCAAGGCAACTTCATAATAAAGTCCGTGGAAACTCTTTTAAGTTCAATGTGTGCTAATGAAATCTACCCGCAGCACTATTGGAATCTGGTGTAAGTCCCCACCCACAATGATAGATCAAAGGTTTGTCCGTGTGCAGCTGTCTACAGTTATAGCACTGGCATTTCTCACGCGTTCAAAATGTAAACTACCTTTACCATCTGCACAAAAATTATATTATGGACAATCAAAATCGCCCAGTATTTCCATAATCAAGCTCATGCCAAATTCAATAAAAGGGGAGATTGGGTTATTTGTGTCCTAGTGCAGATACTGATGCATGTTTTCTGCTGTACATGCGATTTGAGTTGCATATGTAATAGGTAACATTCGAAAAAAATATGCTTAGTTTAACTTTTGAGAGTTTGCTACCAATCACAAAACGAACTTAGTAAATTTTACGAACTTATGAACTCGTGCTAATCTGTAGCCAATAGCAGATGCGTCGACAAGGGTTTTACTGTCTCAACCAAAAGGCTAAATTAACATAATCAGTTCCTTAATTAAAAATGCCATTGACAGCTTTGACCATAGTGAGATAGTACATCCGTATTTAAAGTGAGTTTAAAACAATGAAAGTGGTTAAAGTACATGTGTAAACTTGTGTATGTGGACTCATTTACCGTCATTGTTCAAAGCTCTCAATGTTTATCAATGCAACTGCATATAAAGCACTAGCATCTATGCTACAGTAATTAAATTCTAGCAGTTTAATTAAAATACTTTAATGCAAGCTACAGGAAGTAAGCGAACTAGTAATTTCGTTCAGGAACACTAAAGTGCCAGCAATAAAGTAGACAGGCATTAAAATTCATGCCTTAGGTCACAACTTCATGACTGTGAAATCGACCAGATGTTTGGTTAGGCAAAGGAAATTTCAGAAGATTCATGTCGAAATTGTTAAAATAAATTGAAATACACTGAGACGATTTGATATTTGAGGTTGACAATGTGGTAAATAGACCAAAAGGTGTCAATTAATGTTGTGATTTCTTCAGATTGGAGATGAAGTACTTGTTCTGTGTGATAGCGGAGCTTGGACCGAATACCTTGTCGTGAAACCAATCACAGAAGGCTCAGCAGAAGGCGTGCAGGCGGAGACCTCGGCGACCGGAGCACCAGCAGCCCTCGTGTTCCACAAACCCACAGGCTTATCAACAAGCCAAGCCGCCAGCTTCCTGATGTCCTATCTGCCTGCGTATCTCCTGCTACACAAGGTTGCCTACGTTAGACCCGGAGATATTGTTCTGGTTCATTCAGCTGGAGGTGGTGTTGTGAGTATAAGTGCTTTCTCAAATATCATACATACTTTTAACTAAGTTTGGTTATCATTGTGCGCAATCTATTTAACTATGGCCACGAGAAGACTGCGCATGAAGGCTGCAAACAACGCAATCAGCCTCCAAATACGGTCTGAATTCAAGAAAAGAATAGTCCAAAATGAACTCGGATATAGGGTATCCAAATGTTCATTTCCTTCTTATACTGAAAGTGATATAATGTCAACGGACAAATAAAAGTAACATTTCGTAGAGACAAAATTCTAATCAAAATTATACATACTACTCATTATGACGTCACGTCAGAACACTTTAGTCATCAAATCCATGACTCGTCATCAGAATCACAAGCTTTCACCAATAGGTAGTGACATCTGTATATTTTTGCAACTCGCATTGTTACTTCATTAGGTTAAACTGTCTAAATTATTTTTTGAATTGGAATGACATACTTGTTATGATGATGTCAGTTTTCTACCTTGTTCTCAGTGCTTTTCTCCAATATACTAGGGCACAGCGATTGGGCAATTGGCGAAGTACATTCAAAATGTGAAAATGATTGGCATAGCCTCAGCTGCCAAGCACGAGAAACTGCAACAATACTATTCACTACTCATCAACAGCTCCCAGGACTACGCGGCAGAAGTTAAGAAGTATGGGCTTTATAATATTTACAAGGATTTCTTTACTCCATGCTTTCCCTCCCTCATTAGTTGTGAGATGAGGTTTTTGGTGATTGGCTTGATTGGACAAAATCTGAAAAATCAGGAACATATCGGAAAAAAATTTGCCTCTTAGCACGGCGAGAACAGACATTTCAGGAAGGTGGTTCTAAAAGTGATTTATGGTCTTCGAGCTGTTTGTTTTGCACCTTAGGTCTCGCCGTGAAATTATATTATGACAAATTAGGTCTGACTGCCCGAATTTGCCAACGTTAAAAATAAATCTAATGATCGGAACTTAATCTATTTCATGGTCTTATATTTTGAAAAATATTTACATGTTTTTTTTTGCAATAAAATTAGTAGTTTTGCATTATTTATGGTACCCGATGTCACTGTTAAGGTTAATCAGCTTATTTTTGACACATTCAGTCAAGCATCTCACAATCCTCTCTAGTTCACGCGTAGTAGTTTAATACTACGACTTGGAGACCATAAGATAAACACTTATGAACCACAGCAAAACGCGTCTGTCGTAGACAAAAACGTCAAAGAGCCCCTGTTTGCCGCTCAGTGCAATCTTCTTCAGTTCATGGAGAATGTCCAGGAATTCAATTTTGACAGCAATTATACTTATTTTCAGATTTAGCTTCCAAATAAGCCAGACATTGTCATACAAATCTACCTGAAAGCCTGGACTGGCACCAGACAGTTCGTGACCCAAAATGCGGTTATCATGCTCAATTAACTTTAGTTGCCGCGAAAATTTGCGCGTGGGCCTGTTGGGCAGTAACAACGGACTTTGCTGTTTTGTTACTTCTTATAACAATTGATGTCGGTTGTGATTACATTAATAGGGACTCCTCATGTGTAAGATCATAACCCAGTGCTTCGAATTTGACTCGGAAAATGTATTGAGTCAAAAGAAGATCAAAATATTTGACTCAACTGTACAGTTTTTCCGTTCTCAAAATAGGGAAAAAATGATGTTCACGTGTATTATAACCACTACCGTTCCTAACTTAAAAAAAACATTTACCCTGTATTAGAAAGCTCGATATTAGTCTAAACTCTTTGATGCCTGGCCTTAAATAGCATAATCAAATTGATTAGGCTTCTGACAAGCGTTTACCAACCGCTGATCAAAGCGATTACAATCTGGCCACTTCAACACACGGACGAACTAGAGGTCAGAGAAGCATTGTGCTCAAAGCCCCATTAAAACTCAAGTTGACAGACCTTCAGTGGTCCAATAAGTCATTGATAAATGCCAATTTATACATATGCCAAGTGTGCTAAAAACAGAAGTATGTTCCAATACATCTTGGTGTGGAAATTGTTCCCAGAGCAATCCTTTTATTGTTATTGGGATTGTTTGAAATTTTTACGATATTATTTGGCTCATTCAGAGCTCACTTGGAACGCAAGACACAACCTGATGCTATTTTTAAAGATTGATGGAGTGCAAAAACCACAAATCAACCAGTTAAAATGCTTTGCTTTACCTTTCAGAGTTACGGGTTTCCGATCAAATTGAAATAGTTGAAAGGTTCATTTTTCGTAACTTCAACGGCCAGTAACATACAGCAGTGGACAAAATAATTTACATAGACAGCCATGTTACCGAGGTTAAAATAAGAACCAAAATTGCTAATATGAACGTTAATCATTTAACATCGAAATCTTAACTTCTGTTTTTTAGAGGATTATTCGTATATTCCATATATTCCAGAATTACGAGTTTTCGATCACACTCTGACAGTTGAAAGAATCACTTTTCGTGAATTCAGTGGCCAGTGACATACAGCAGTGGACAAAATAATTGACGTAAATTGCCATGTTACCGAGGTTAAAATAAGAACCAAAATTGCAAAGATGAGCGTGGGTCATTTAACATCGAAATCTTAAGTTCTGTTTCTTTGTTAAATAATCTTCTTTGATCAGCTGACCCGCTTTTTAGGGGATTATTCGTATATATTAAAGGGATTTTTTTGTTCACCATCACCCACGTCTTTGCACGAGACCGCTCGACCACCCAACCGTGTAGGTACTGTTCTAAGTCACAATGACCAAGTGCTCATGCTACCAAATTTATGAGCACGCAATAAATGACTTGAAATGATAAATTTCAACGACCAGGCAAACAATAAATATTATCGATTTAAACTATGGGCTCTTATTAAAGAACAAGGGTTGCAGTACAGCCTACTCCCTAGCTGTATGTTGCCAATTTCACCCACTTACAGGGTGCATATGGAATGTACGATAACTTTGTGATGGCAGCAGGAGTTATACCTGGGAGTCATTTTAATCACTTACATTTACATCTGTTCGAAATTCCGACACAAATTATGGGAATGATGAACGTTCAAAAATTATAGCATAACCATTTAACAAAGGTCGGCATGGGCCATGTGCACGATTACTGATTGCGGCGTTGATGGTTGAGCGTAATGTTGCCCTATAAATCAAGGCCTAGGGATATTTTTAAAAGTTGCTGTAGTTCAGCAACAATGATGAATTTTCGCTAAAATACCAGAAATATCAGACCAGTTACTTCGAGATGTCGATAGTTTGCGTGTGGCTCTAATCGCTCACTCAAACAGCAGTCTACTTCTCAATGAACCAGACTCGTTTACTTGGATCTTCAGCAACCACTTTGCGGCGTTTTGCATGCTTTAGAGTAGCCCATCAGAAGACAAGTGATGTTAACATCAAGTCAATAGCAAACAGTGACACCTCCTCTTTCGACAGTCAGGGGCCGTTAGTCCTGTGTGCAGAAATTTTCACAAAAAATTTTAACAGTAAAGCCCAACGAATGACCTTGAGCACTTTGGAAGCATTTGGTTTGGAAGGACAGTCGACGTGTCCACTTACTTCTCTGGGTTTCGAATGTGATTGCATGTTTTAACAAATTCGCTGTTAAAAAAGCAAATTTTTGAGAAAATTTGAAGCGAAGAGCGTGCCAACATTCAAAGTAGAAAATCTTCAAATTTGTTGTGTTAACGTGGAGTCAATGTGTATTCATGCAATCTCACTTAGCGCACGATCTTAGTGAAATCATGATGTTTAAGTTATATACAGTAATGTGCTACACTGACTTGTGGAATTCATATCATTCACAAACCGCCTTTAACAAACTCTTGTTATTTTTAAGGGAATTCCCGCAGGGCATAACCGTGGTGCTGGACAGTCGCTCGGGTGAAGAGACTAACAAAGTGCTTTCTCTGCTGCAGCCCCTAGGCCGTTACATTATTTATGGTTAGTTCATCTAAATGCTTTACACAGCCGTACCTAAAGGATATTCAGTTGTGGCCTAAACCAGAAAAAAGCTTGTCTCTTAATAGACTAGACTCTGATTTCTATGGCGCTAGTGTGACCAACCAGGAATGTTACCATCTACTTTGGGGCTAACATATCCGTTAATTAATTTACACAGACTTTAGTCACGAACAGCCAGGGTTGCTTTGTTTAATGTACTCTACGTGGTGCGCAGGTTTAGAAAATCAAACCCAAAAACCACAAACAAATTTGAGAAAAAATATTTGATGTCGGCAACCACTTTTCATGCAGCCTTTACCTCATATTTGATTTTTGAAGGTATACTTATACGTTTGATGTAAGTATATTTGGCAGTGAGTGAGTTGGACGTGTCATTCACTCCCTTACTGGTATTCAATTGTCATTGTAGGTAACTCCAGCTTCGTTACGGGAGAACGCAAAAATCTCTTTACCTTCGCAAAGTCTGTAAGTGTAGCCTAATGCCTGGTACTGACTCCAGATTTGTTGAGTAAATTATTATAATACTTAAGAATAATATTTAGAAATGTAATTGAGAGTTTGGTGCGCTTTCATGGACAACAAAAACCGCTGCTTGGGTGCACTGGTCAGTATAGTGAATTAAATATCTTTTACATTTCTGTAATGTAAAAATCCCTTAAATCAGCAAGATGTTCTTTGAACTATTGTTCGAAGTATCCAGCTAAATCCCCACAAATCGGCTGCTTGTTATGTAAGAAACGCAAAGATGTTATAATCAAAACACAGGCATATGCTATGGAATGCTCAGGAAGAGTCAATAAATTCTAAGTTTTGCCAAAAGTTTGCTTTGTATCATAACTCAATCCTCTGAATTTGCACTAGTATACATTGCGAAATCTCAATCTTCTTGACTTGAATTAGCAACATCAGCAGCCTAAAACCGATGTTGATTTTTATGAACCCGACGATCACTTACTTGGGATAAAACAAGCAAATGAAGTGCTTTAAAACCCCGAGGACAATTTTATTGCAGAACCAACAACTTGTTCTCCACACACATCCAACACTAATGGATTGTCAAAAGAACGGACTAATTCTTCAACCAGAAAATTAATATCAAAAGTGTCATTCACTTTGCCAAACCCTTGGGTCATGGTGCAAAGATTTAAACAAATCACTTTATGCGGACAATGTTTAAAGCATAGTTTGTTTTTGGATATGGTACAATATTATCTGGATTTTGAACACTGTCAAGGGAAGTTCTTTTGTCCAATACAAGCTATGCACTGTTCAACATTTTTCATATTCTATTCATGAAGTGGATCCAAATGGATCGAATCAGCCCACTAAAGCTTCTTGAAGAGAACAAATTGCTTGGAGGATTTTCTCTAAAGCAGATGGTGTTTCATCAACAAGGCCATTTTGCAGTGATATTTGAGGCATGGAAGGAACTAAAGCAGATGCTTCTAGAAAACAAAATTGAACCTGTGGTTGACAGCGAGTGGAGTTTTGAGGAGGTGAGCGTAAATTCAAATTATTAACCCTATCATTTACACCATCAACGGTTTCATGCAAAGCATCTTGATGCGAAAGTTGTAAATTTATAAATTAACCGTGATTTTCATTGAGTCTTGCCATATGTACCCGTGATAGGCTGTATCCGAGCCTTCACTAACAGTTCTCTTATGTAGGTGAGGGAAGCTCTTCATAAGCTTCAGGATCGCAAGAACTTGGGGAAGGTCGTTATAAGTCCCAAATTGAAGCCAAAAGAAGTAAGCAATTCTAGTGAACCAGACTTTTTTTGTAATTTTATTGTTTGTTTGCTTTGTATTAGGAAAAAAATATATTACGTCAAAATGAGGTCATGCGAATAAGATGCCATGGATGTAAAGGGCTGTCTGGACTCGACTTACATGGGTCTTTGAGCTGCTTCAAGTGGCACGGGAAGACTAGTCGCATTACTTTGTCATCCCTTCGTGCAGATTTGGTGGAGGTTGTTATAATATTTAAACAGCATGATTTTTAGAAGCAGAGGGAAATCCAAGGGCCTAAAATTAAAAAAACACACCTTTATGATTAGTATGGTAATGCCGCAGTCGCATTTTTTTACCAGACGCGGCGCAAAAATCTGATGTGTTCTAAAGTTGGTTATATGCTTCTATAACTTCTTTGGGATAGTCACCACTTTTAAGCCAGCGTAACCATGTATTATAAATTACACTTTTTATCATCACGATGGTGGTTGTGTTGGTAAGGCTGTTAAAGGACATTGTTTTGTAACTTTCTATCAACCATAATAGGAGAAGACGCAAGGAGAAACAGAAGGAGTGGAGGCGAAACCTGCTGATTCGACTGCACCAAACCCCTAAGTTCTATTTTTGTTCCACCTTGTCCGTAATTTTAAATGAAACATCATTTCTCGGTCTTGTGCTCCCGTATTCTCATATGTAGGTTTGTACTCGGCCTTATTCTGTCTCAATCAATGGCTTTTGTCTTGTCCTGTGTTTCTTTTGTTCTTATTTGATTTTCTCAAATGCCTAATGCTTTTTATGTCGAGCTGACTTTTTCGTTATTTTCTAACACCGAGATTTTGAATCATTTAACAAAATTGGTTTTCGTACATCCGTTTGACGTGTTGTCTTTTAACCACGACTTTAAAAATCGATAAGTCAAGGTTTTGTCTAGTTAAAAACTATTGCGTGAGTTTTATAACTCAGCCTTGTTCGGGCAACTGAAGGACCACAAATTTTTAAATTGAATGTTTCCCATATTTAGCCTCATGATTAATTGGTCAATGCAAGCGAGAAAAGGAAGGAAGTTTTTTCACACGTAACTTTAGGGCAAACAAAATGGTCATTGTTGATTCTCGTTAAGACTGTTGTAAATCGTTATAAATCATGTCCATAGACTGTAGCCAGATATGTAGACAAATCACTGCCTTTTAGTAATCTCCTATCTGCTCATGCAATTCTGGTGTTTATAGTTTTTAATACACCTGAAATATGTTGATCAAGAGACTTCTTGTGTCACCTCACACATGGGCAGGTTCTGATTTATAGGAAAACAGATTGTCTTGAGTGTAACCACAAGACAAATCGCAACATGAATAGACAAACTCGAGGTGGGGTAAATATTAAATGATTAAAGGTTGGTTGTAGAAGAAAAACACAGACGCTTCGAGGCAAAAATTATGCACATTCAAATACAAAATAGTAAGTTGTATGAATAGTAAATTAATTGTGGCCAACAAGAGGTAATTCAATAAAGCAATGTACATCCAAGTTATAGCGCACGCATTTTGTAGCCTGGATTGAACTCAACAAATAACAGACATAAAAAAAGGCAGTTAGTAAAACGTGTTCGCACGAAGTCGGGATTTTCGTCAAGCATAAATTCTAAACTACATTTTGCCAAATGAAAACAATTGGCATATAAATAGTCGCCTATTTCTATTTATAGTTGGATCAACGCATTCTTTGTTTTTCGCTACAAGAATTTGCGTTCACGTCACCTAAAGTTGGTTTAGACGGTGAGTTTGCAACCAGCCGAATAACTTCGCAGCTAATTTGGAATCGTTTTAATTTCAGCAGATTACTTTGTTAGCTTGGTTAGTTTTCAATAACCTTCTCTGGCTACTCTTATCAGAAAATTTCATTAGCAACGCTCATTCGAGAGCTCTATTCTGACTGCGCCACCCATTCTAGGACACAGTTGACTGCGGATCTTTCTAATAAGCCATTTAATCACAGTTAAAGTAAGAATTGGCTGGTTTGTGCATTTGTTCCAACATGGCTGGGCACAATCCCCACTCTGGAAAAAGCTGTTATTTATCTTCTGGTATGGTACTTACGATAAAGTCTCTATTACAGTCCTTTACAAACCATACCTGACACGCGGCAAGAGATTGACAAATGGGCGTAGCAGACGTCGGACTTTTGATTATGTAAACATGCAGCTAGTTTGGAACGATAAGTGGACTGACTCGAAAACTCCGGCTTGTCCATTTAGATTTAAATAGGAAAATTGTAAGCCTCTAACATTTATGAACAGATGTCATCTGTGTCGTCTAGGTTAGAAAAGTGAATAGGGTCATCCTAAAAATTCGTTGGCACTAAAGTATAATTCCCGCGGCCTAGTATGAAAAAGGGTAGACTTTATTAATATATCTCACTTATAGACATCGTCACATCAAGTCCTCAATAATGACTGCACTACTCGTTATTTGCTCCAGTTGACTGCTTTTCATCAACGGAGAATTAGCTGGTCTTACCGCGTGATTCAATATGGCTGCTCCCTAAATCGGTACTAAAATTCCTCCTGATGCTTCTACTTGTGATTTCGTTCCTCTTCCAATTTAAATGATATAAGCTTATTCATTTAATTTAAAATAACCTTTCCTCGTTACAAAATTGTTACTTTCATATTGTCAAATGCTCCCTGTAATAATTTCGATGTTAACTTGTAATCACAATCTTATTTCGCAAGCCGTCCTCAATAATATCGTCACACTTTTAGTGAATTAGTAGAAATTAATCTAGACTTAAATTCATGTCTGTAGAGGACTCCGGAAAGCCCTTTGAGATGCACGTCTCGTCTCGAAATTGATTCAATGACTGCTGAGCGTGATGTGTTACTCCGTATCACTTTAATTACGATTAGTCAAATTCAGCCGAGTCTTCTTATCAAGTGGATTAACATTTTAGCTTAGTCTAGCATTCATTTTTCCCTTGCTGTGCAAGTATTTATTGTCATTCCGGGGATTTCGCTAGGCAAAACTTTTGGAATGTTTAAGAATTTCTTAGCGGCCTTTTGTTTGCTGGCCGACTCACTTATTACCGTAGAATTCCCCACCTGCAGGCTTTACATTCCATGTTTCTAGTTAATTACGAATTTTTATTTGGTTTGATTTTTTTTATTGCATTTCGTGCTGCTTAAACAGCAGGGTCAAAAGTTTTCAGACGTAATAGTTTTATTGTACTTATTGAATAGGCTTAATTTAATTGTATTGGAAAAACCATGATTGAATGCCTTAATGACTATTTGTGTTTAACTATTTTTGGGTGACTGAGGGTCCTTTGGCCTTATTTCATATTACTTTTGCTCATTCACTAGCTTTTTTGATTCCATGGGGCTTTACTTTTATCAAAAATATTAAAATCATATTAAATACACTCAGTAACGTATCAGTGAGTTAAGGTCGCAAGTATGAACACGCCTAGAACGTTATAGCCACACTAGTCTTCACCTTGCTGACAAGTCAACAAATTGTTCTGTCCTCATTTTCGCCCACATTCTTTTTATTGAAATGTCAAGGCTTACATACCTCAAATATGCTTATTCCAAAGGCGCTAAGTTGTATTCGTCGTGACTACACCCACTGTGTGGTCGTCGATGCCCAAATTGTCTATTTTTTGATGCATTGATTACGTTTATTGCTCTGCTCAAACTGTCAATTCCATAAGAGAAGGCTGTGAGACATTGATTCGTCGTCTAATGGCACTATTTTTTTGCAGCATGATTGCCATGAGTAAGTGCCATGCAAACCCAAATTTCTGCTGAAGAATTCGCTCGATTTCAGTCGCAGTTACTGGAGCTTCGTCAGCAGAAGTACGCTGCTGACGAAAGCCGCATTCGTGCTGACAGAAGAGCCGATGATCTCGAAAAAACGCTAGCATTACAATCAGGAGAAATTGCCGAACTTCGCAGTAGCCTTTCTCGCATCCAAAGAGCTGGTGACATCGATGCCCTTTTCAAAGAAAACCAATCCCTCCGTCATCGCCTTATTAACATTGAATCCTCCTTCCAGCTGCAGACATCGACCCTCCGTGCTGAGTGCGAACGGCTTCAGGCAGATAATTCAGTCCTCCTCTCTACTCTGAAAACTGCTGGTTTAAACCAAACCACTGCTACTTCATCAGCGCACGATGAGGGTACTCAAACAATACCTATTATTCAAACTGTTAAGGCCTCACAAACCCTTAAGTCCGGTCAGACGTCTTCTCAAGTGCAAACAGATCTTCTAAGTGCAGACATTGAAAATGTAGAAAATCGTCTTAACGAGCTTTCAGAGGCTGACACTCTCCTAGCGAATGAACGGTTGGCATCAGGACGGCTTGTAAAGGAGTTACTTGAACGTGAGCTGGATGTAGAGCGACTGGAAAGAGATTGTGAGGCTCTCCGAAGTGAATTGGTTGTAATGGAGAAACGTAGTGATCGTGTTCAGAAGGACCTAAAACGTCAGCTCGCTTCGGCTGTCCGTGCTGCAAAGCAGGCTACAGCGACGCCATCACTGTCGAGTCTGGTGTACGTTCAGAAACCGCCACAAAAATGTGATACCATATCCGTGGAGTCTTTCAGTCTGTGTGGCGGCGTTAATGGTGTCCAGGTAATGGGAAATGACGGTGACATGTCTGAGACATCCTCGAGCTCCCCAATTCCGCAGCAAACACTCTTCTCGGAAGACGACTTAAAAGTAAATGTCACTTTCGCTTTTTTGGAATAATTTATCCTCGGCATGTATGATTAAGAAAGCATTATGTTCTGGTTGGCACTTTCTGATGTTTCAGAAAACGCACGTAGTTTTTAATGATCGAATTTGGCAAGTTTTAATGACCCTACTTGGACGAATGCCCGCCTGCATTGCAATTTGAACCCATCTCAAAATTCGGTCAAAATGTCATAAATAGTACTTCAGCTGATACTTTTCGCCGCATTTTGTACTACATTGCCACTGTTAGATAATGAGATCGTAGTTACGACTTTGGGTGTTGTCACATTTACATTCTTTTAGTGAACACGTTAGATCACGATAATTGTCATTATTTTCCATCTTGAGTTTCTGATTTGTAAATGTGTGACAAACTTCTGTCATAAAATACTGCAGATGTTTTTAACCAATTATGATGATGGTCGTACTGATTGTAACCAACCGTTCACGGGTAAATCTTAAAATACACGACGATGCTTCGTACATTATAGTACTCCAGCTTAGATTTGCTGGTATCTTTCGTAAACCGTTTCTACGTACTTGAGGCCTTTCTTGTTGTAACCTTGGCTCTGCTTGTTGCTATGCGGAATATTAATCATGCCATTTCTTAGGCAGTGTCAAATGTGTTTGTGGTTTGTTAGTTCATTGCAACGCTTAAATTTTACAAAGTATTATTTCCTGTTGTGCCTCTGAATAACTTAACATGTCTTTGTAGAAATAAGACATTTACACCAATCGCAAAGCGCACTTTTCGCCGAACTTTAACAGACAACATGATTCGAATTTTGTCAGTCATATCTTCCGATTCTTGTAGCTTATTCGATCTAACACTTCAAATTAAGTTACAATTTGACGTGTACCTTACATGTAAAATTCTTACAGTGGCGCAGTACCTCATGGTACGCGCGCTTTCAGCCACTTACGTTGGTTTATTTGGTTGCCGTAAGCTCACGTGAGTAATATGTCGGTGGCTGTCGTAAGGTGTGGGATGTTAAATGTCTGGCCCTCTCGTTTGCATCCAGAATCTTTGGTTGGTCAAATTATTTCTGATCTAAATATGCTCACCCATGTTTGATGAATTCTACAAAGTAGAGCTCTTTTCAGGGCCTCCTGAACAGGCTCTCTGAGGTGCAGGAGGAGAATTGTAATCTGCGGCACAAAGTGAAGCGCCTCGAAGCAGACCTCGACGCGAAGTCCACAATCATACAGCAGAGGCTGACCGACAAAGCCATCCCATACCCTCCTGGTGAGTGCGATTTTTGTAGTTTGAGTAACGCTGCACTTGCAAGTGACACAGTAGGAATACAACATTGTGGTAAACACATTATTTCGTTTCAGCTGTCACATTATCTAAAAACGTCGATCTGTCCCGTTTTTCGCATCCCTACAGAACACTGCTTTTGTAGCTTCCAGTAACTTCACACCCACTAGATACTTGACAGCATTTTAAAAGATCTTTCTAGCTTTCGTGTACCCTAGCTTTTCATATCAGGTTATATTTTGAGTAATGGATTTTTTAAAAAAAGCACCTGTCGTGAATCCTGTTTATTCAACCCCCTAATCCTGTCCCTCCACCTCCTACACAGGGTTCCCCTTCTCGCAGAATCCTAAACTCCCCCTTCATTAGCACGAATACTTATCTTGGAGTATCCCCACACCTAGGTCTCGATGTTAGCCCATGTATGACTCACACATCCGAGCTATAAATACACACGCGCGAACCCCACACACGACACATCGACACCAACGTGGTTGAGCTCTGAAGTATACGATTGTATCCCGTCTTCTCCGATCTTTTTCTTCATCGCGGGTATCAGGCAAGCGTAATCGGGCCAGGGTTAATTCCGTGGCTCCGGTGTGCTTCAAGACCACGTGCGGGGGCCTACAACACACTACGTAGACTAGTGGAAGAAATACGCTCCTAATGGTTCCGAATCTTAAAGCTGAGATTATGTCAGCGATTCTTGACGGGACGCCACGCATCCGTGTGGTTCAGGAAGACCTCAGGGCTAACCAACGTCGACTAAAAAGTCGAATTTTACTAGCAGGCTTCTGGCATTTTTGAGGCGGCGAATTTCTCGTGGGTGATCATTAATCAAAGTAGTACATGAACTCCAAAATCTTTCTAGTTTTCTTACTTTCGTTATAAAATGCATGTTTGTGTGAATGTTCTTATCGGCCTACTTGCAAACATGCACGCGATGTAAAGTGTAATACTTGTAGTGTAATTGACGGGCATCCAGCATATTCTGCGTTCCATTGTCCTCTTCCTGGCGGCTAGGGGGATCCGTCTGGGACAGAGTGTGTGTTCAGCGCGTTCCTGTCGTTATACCCTTAAAGTGAATTCGGAAGTGAAATTTTACAAGCATTGTTTTCTAATTTTGCAAGAGTAAATGTTTCATCAGGTCTACCACCAAAATTTGACCAGGTTGCTAAAAGGACATCTCTTCGGACAATTCAGTCTAGTAATAATAGTTCGTCTGGTTTCAAACAGGACGCAGGCGAGAATCTAATGGCATAAGCTATCTTCTGGAGCCCTATCAACACACCACAGGATGTGACGAGGCAATGAAAGCTAGTGCATGACGACCTCGGGCGTTTTGACAGTTTTATCGCTCGCATGTGATCTCGGTGTTTTCCGGTGAATTGCGTCAAGTTAGAACGTTAAAGCTCAACTCGAAACACATTTTTTGTAATGAATCGTGTTGAAGTCCTCGGGGGGTAAACCGAATCCCTTGTTTCCGTAGAAGGCGGTTATCTCCTGGGTTATTTCCTTTCAAAATTTGTCAAATTTTAAGTGCACAATTCAGTTCGCAATCAACTTGATACCTCCTTTTTAAGTGCTCTTAATAGCGGCTGTGGGAATAATCGTCGTTCTTACGCTTTTTCCATTTCATCGCACGGTCTAATAACTGAGTCACTGCCACCCTGCCCTACTGATGGTTGAATCATGCACTGACCAAGTTCGTTCTCGTTACCATCGTTTCAGCCGTGCTTAGTATGGTTCATTGGAGTATCCAGCTGCCGTGTTTATCAGCGTTGCTCACCAAAAAACATTGAATTTGATGATTTCACGTTGCCGTGGGGCCTGTCCCCAGGTATTCAGTGGTATTTAAAGCCTTTGACAAGCTCGGCGTTTAGCTGAAACTGTGTTAAATGCGTTGAATAGCAATGCTGAAATTGTTTAAGCTGGATTTTTCTATTTTGCAACGCCTGTTCTGTAACCATCGTTGGTGTTTGGCTATAGTGTGTTTGCGGTGCTGGCCTTATCAATTCAGCCCAATGTGCTCTCTGCCCGCATTGCTTTTCAACACTCGTGGCTGAAATGTCATTACTGGCTTATGCAATTCCTCAAAAGCGCCCAATGTCCTAGTGGTTAAACTTGTTGAAACAATTTCGCATACTTGTATTTTAGTTCAAACAAATGCTGATTCAAGCAAAGCCACTCCGGTCACCAATCCGCACTCCCTCATACCTCGGCTCGCCTCAGATGTTCTCTCAACGGTGAAATCCAAGTTAAAACAGCTGGAAGCTGTTACGATGGAGATGTCCTCCCCTACAACGGCAGTCAGTTCAGTTGAACTGCTCGGTCTAAAGAGGCTTTGTGAGGAGCTGATGACTCGCAATATCTCCCTGGAACGAGCTCTAGAAATTGCCCTGTCCTCGGGGAAAGGCAACGAGGAAATCTAGCCATTCCATTCTCGTTATTTCCCAGCTGCCACGGCGTGTGATTTTCCCTACTCCAGAACACTTGTCTTATTATCTTTTGCCTTCACAATTATTCTAACTCTATTTTCATTCAACTTTTGCAGTGGGCATAGTGCAAAAACGCAGGTCTCATTGCGTCTGTGAATGGCCGTTCGAACTGTCATTGGTCAAATCATTAACCGTTGATTGGCTGCCTCCCTCGTGTGGTTCACAAACAATTGTCCCGAGTTTAGTTATAATGCTTTTTATGGCAATTGGGCTTTGGCTGAGAGAATTTTACCAATGTCTGTGAGACCAGATAATTCTTATCAAGCACTTCAACTCTATCCTGGCCACATGAGTTGGTGGCTTATTAGTAGTAACGTTTGTTTTGCTTTTTGCTTTTTTTACGAACGATACTTTTTCGTTCGGCCAACGAAATCTCTGCTAATCTACAGGCGTAGTAGATTAGTATTGGCGCTTTTGGTATTTCACATGGTTCTTCAAAAGCGAAATATTGCTTAAACATAGTCTGTACACGATTTTAGCACCAGGTAGTAGGTAGTAAGCGCCTACAATGACAATTCTAATGACACAAATCCTGAATAGTCATACCACTTTCTGCGCATTTTTGATTGTCTTTCCCTAGCCTTTAATTAGAACAAGTAACAGCCGGTGTCTATCTTAATATCAGCTAAGGTTGACCTTCTCAGGCTAAATTGCCGTGACATAATTCAGAATTGCATGCGCATTTGATGCGTGATGTAAACTACGCAAGTTAGTGTGTGTATGCTCGCCTCATTTGCCAAGATGGCTGTCGCTATCGCGTCTGCCACAGCGAAGGTGGATGTAGTGCTAAGCGATAGATCAATCTGAAAAACAGTTTAGTTCGAACATTGTTTGGTTCAGAGGACACGGGGAAAGTTTACTACTGTCTTATGTAGAAATCTCTTAATGAAGACGAGGCTTTATGTTTTGTTTCGAAGCCTTATGCATTTTAGTCTTAATCATGGCTTCTTAGGCTATTTTTAGGGCATGCAGTCATTAAGGGAATGGTTACATAAGTGTGCAGCTGTTCGCGTGATCTGGGACTATGAACTAGTGGGTAGAGGTTTTGAATGCTCGGCTCTCCCGATGCGTATCTGCGTTATTCCAAACCATTGCACTCTACTCTTACAATTCAAGTAGCGGTTTTGTGGTGCTCAGTGTTAAGTTCAAATACGAGGAAGTACACTTAAACAGTCGATTATCGGGGAAGGTGTGTTCCAGCGCGAGCGGTTACAATGATTTAAACATATTAGGTTGGTGTCATTCTCGCCTATGGCGTAAAGATTATAAATTTTCTCTACAGTAAAATCGTAGAGCCTCTTAAAGCACCCAATATTAGAATGATTTTTGCTTTCTCTATTTCTTTCAGGTGTGTTACACAACTGACTTTGAATTTACTTTTAAAGAACGCATATGCAGGGTCATCATTATGATCCTAGCCACCGTGAATATCATTTTTAACTAGTAGTCGTGTGGAATTGCTAGCGCCTATGGTATTCTGTCAAATCAAAGCGCAATGTATTTTTTGTGTTCTCGCAACTCAGGCAAGCTGCCGAATTTCCATTTAACGTCCAACAAGCAATGTAACTTGCAAAGTTCTAATGCGACGCAGAATGTTTGAGACTTGCAAAAACCTTTTCAGAATGTCTTCTTTTGAGTGCGTGAGTGATTAATAAGGCGTTCCTTGTTCATATTACGTGCATCCATAATCTGCGCAGAGCTTAAAAAGTAGTTAGCAGTTACATGCTTGGAGGCCTTAGGCATAATTTCTGTTTATGGATTGCAGTGAATAGTTTTAGTGAGTTCTACTTCCGGTGTTTGTAAATGCGTCAAATAAAGTGTAGACACTGTTGGGGTTGTATGGCACGTGGCGGACCGCCATATGCGGGAAATGGGATTTTTATTCATTAGTTATTCAGCAGTGGTAATGTAGCGGCGGCTTGCCGTACACCGGCGTATGCGCGGATCGGTCAGTCTTTGGAGGTGATTTACGTGTTCAATTTTAGTGTGTAATTTTTTCTTATGCAGCATAACTGCTTCAGATTTCAAATTTTGCGTTCCCGCTGTGGCAGACTGCATATATAAATCTAATTTTAAAGCCAATTTAGCGTCACTCAGGCCCAGTGAAACCTTGTAGGTGAAAATGATGTGTGCAGAAATTTGAAATATGGTGAACTGAGCATCACATATGTATTTATGCGTTACACTTATCTCCCAGTGTACTTCAAAATGGCCAATGCCTCAAATTTTGTATTTTTTGAGGTGAAATAAACAAAGTTCCCATGTGCCACCTTTTGATTTGAGATCCCACAATTCTCCACCGATTTTTCGTTAAGGCATCTGTTACATAGCAGAAGAGTAAAGAGGAAGTCATAATAGGATGTCATCTCCAACTTTAAAATCTGGTCATTAAGTCTTTTGCGGCCATCTAAGATACAAACCATGGTGCAGATTGAATCGGGGAGGCAACACTGAGGTCTGGTCTGGTAGAACTAATGTGGTTAAATTATTTTGACAAGATATTTCATCACTAGATAAATGCATAATTAAATGGATGTAAGAGATAATGTTGCTGTCGACTTCCTGTAACAGTTCCTAAAACAGGTAAACAGTTTTCGAAATTAAGAACAGTCTTTGTTTGTAATTTTATGGTGGAAAACTATTAACGTGAAGGGCTTTGCCATTTAAACAGTTTCATGCTGGGTTACTAGGACACATGTAAAGCAAAACTATCTCAGGTAGTCAGTACAGTCGAGGGGCGGCGTGTCTGGCGATATGCAGGTTGGTGGATGATTGGTTAAAAAGCATCATGTGGTATTCCAAGCATTTGAACTCACTGTATTTCGACTACCTAATCTGGCGCAGATAGGCCAAGGTTTGTTGATGCAATTAATTGTCGTCATATGAATTGTGTTAGACACAAAAAGAGGCTTGAGGTTTTGGAAACAGGACCTAAGGTCGACTGACAAAAGTGTGGCGAGCAGTCGTATGACTGAGTCATCGTGTGAATAAATAGCAAATGCGGGCATCATTCAAATCAGTGACGCAGAAGTAAAACAGGTGATATGGTCTTGCGAAAAAAATATTTATGGATATTCAGCGATAAGGTAGGTTGTACCACATATATTCGGGATATCTTCGTGCTTTTGCAATGCTGCTCGTGTCCAAACAGGTGATTGGAAAAAAAGAAATCTCAGTTTAAAGCAAGAGGAAGAACCCTGAACACGGCCACATCTGGCGTGTATGCAATTGGTGGCTGATCCCCAGCAAGCACAACAAAGCTCTTTTTTTCATCCAAATAATACGAAGAAAGGGAAGAAAGGTTGACAACGCACGACAGCCGTGCTGTTGCGTTGAGGGGAAAAACCCTAGCTTGAAGATTTTATGTAATGAATATGCCTCAGTGGTACCAGAAATATATGAGAAAATAGGGGCTTTAAAAACTCAGGATTAAAAAACTTGTGTATCACCCAAAAGTGGTGAGAATCCTGAACTGACTCATCCCCTTGACAGGAATTCTCAATTTAGGTAACTACTACATCACAGTGCCTAATTGTTTTAACTAATTTTACTACATGCCGAAGAAAGCCAATGTAGACATGTTTAGAAACCACGACCGATTATGTTAACCGTTCATCGTGGGTTACTTGGAAAGAAGCCGCATTTTAACCAATGCTGCAGCATAGCTCAAATGACGCCTAATATATTTTACTTACATGAGAATGAGATGATTTGTATTATAAGATGCTAACGATATTAGCATCCAAGCCTCGAATAAAACTTATGTGATTTGTACTGATATCTTCGCATAAAACTAAATACATCTGGTGTGAAATTGAAGGCAGGCGATCATTTAAGTGTAGATGGCGTTCTTGCATTTTGATGGCCTACAAATGACTATACTGATATTTCATCACGATCGATTATTGTTAAGTCGCTTTAAAGTCTGAGATAATTTTATGTGTAACATACACTGGAGCCTAATTTATAATTTAGTCACATTTCTATTCAATTTATAAGATTCCTGAACTTATAGTCCCAATATATGTTTTGCACGCTGAACTAAACTAAAAAACAATAATGTAGGTAAACAAGTTGTGGGTAGTGTATTTGCATAACAAGAAAACACGAGAACAGCGTTTTTAGGAAAACAATAAATAACGTAAAGCAAGTTTTGCCAAAGTAGGTAAAGTGTAGTTTTTTTTCTGACTTGATGCGGTAAGAACTTTCGGGCATTTTAATTGACGAACCAACTGATTTCCCACGCTTGATTATTCAAACCAACTTTGCAGTACAGTCGACCGGGAGTCACGCTAGGCTTGCCTTCTTGCAGCAGAGCTAAGGTCAACTGGAATCACCAAATCATTTACCTACTCCTGTTTAGGTGGTATTCTGAGTGGTGACGTAATTAATTTGGGCTATGCCAATTACTCAGGCCCTCATGTGTAAATTTTGCGGTGACGGAGGTGCAATCGTGTTCGTCATAAAACTAGTCTATTAAACTTACATCTTTTATTGATTTTACCGATAACCAGTACTCTAGACTTTGTCATTAAGCATAAAGTGCCCATTTGGTCACCAAGTACGGAAGTAAGCCTTACATTTTCACCCAACAACTTGGTCCTTAACCCTTCTGAAATGATATTTCAGCGAAACAGATCAGCTATTTTTGTTATAAGGTATAATTAGGTGCAGAGGTGAGCATTCAGAGCACGTCATTTTGAGAAAACGTTGATTTTTTTTAAAGGTCTATTCCGATAAGCCAACCGTTCGTCTATGAACTGCAAAGGAACACAATGGTAACCGCTAAAGCAAGTCTAGTGACTAAAAAGAATATTAATCAAACTCCTTGTACCTTTGAGCTCCACCTTAAAAATTCAAATCTATTTAGTTACTTCAAATCAGAAAATTAACGAACATATGATATTAAACTAATCTGGATGTACTAAGCCAGA